CTGTCTACACTGAGGGTCTGGATTTGCTAAGATGCATGCTGCTCCCCCAAGAGGGGAGAAGAAAGAGACAGACAAGGCCAATGCTGCGAAGCAATGTGCACACAAGGATGCAAACAAACTCTGGCCATCAATGGCTGTTCTAAGTTCCACAGGCAAGGACCCAGGTATTACTGGAGTCTACCCCTCCATCCCTCCTTCTTGGGATGGAATCTCAACCATGCCCAAAAGGATGGGTAGAAGTCACCTGGGCAGAAAGAAACTGAACAAATTCCAAAATTTATCATGAGAACATGATTTCTTAGACTTAAGGAAAAGAGTTAAATAAAATCACTAAAGGAAGCCCTTTGACAGATGCCTGCTTTGCTTTCTTAATAATTCAAGCCCTTTTCCTTATACACACAGAGACACACCTACATGGTAAACACATAAAAATAGGTTAAAATTATTTCTGTAGTCCTGCAATAACATGATGCTAGGACTTAACTAATAACTTTGGGGAGATAATCCAAGCTGTGACCTTTGCTGAGTCATCAGACCTTTTCAGACCTTGTCCGGCAGAGGCCGCAGCAGAACATGTCTGCCCCCAAAGGAAAGCCAAGTGTCTAAGCCACCATGAGGGACACAGAGAGAGAAGGAAAGGCAAATGGAGAAATCCCTCTAACATCTGATGAGCGCATTCCCGCACAGCCCTCCGCTCTTTTCTTTGAAAGCTCACGTCCTCAGTTCTGTTTGCCCTCAGCGTTCTGGTTGCTCTTTGCATAGTCACAGCACGGCTTGCTTCAAATCCGCAAAGCAGAAGGTCACAGCACACACTCGGGCAAGTGACCCCCAGGTAAAAGCACATGGGGCACCCTCTGAAAAACAAGTGTACCGATGAGGAACCTTCAGGAAAGATCCCGACAAAATTCGGTTGGGCAGTCTCCTTTCTCAATTTTACAATAACAGTTTCTGTTTGAAAAATATCAAATAAAAGAAGTTGGTGTTTACTTTGGACTGCCATTTCAAAAACTTGTGTGAGAGCTTTGAAAAAAATACAGTATTTCTATGACTTCCACATAAAAATAATGAAGCAAGGACTCAACTGCTGTCAGAGGACAAAGGTAGGAAGCTATTTAGTTTTCTGGCTTATTTTCTCAACCAGAGACCTCAAGATAACCCCTAAAAATTCAGTTTTTAGAGAAGACAAAGCAAGAGAGAAGCAGTAAATAAGAATTTACAGTATTCCAGAGGCAATGGAAAAAGAAGAATCTTATCTTCCTCCTTTCATCTCAGGAATTTAATAAACAATGTAAGTAATGTTCAAGAATTCCATTTTAAAACATACCTACTGTTTCAGAAATGCTTTTATATTTACAAAACAGCTGTTTTCTTCGCAGAATAAAACCCACTTTCACTGGAAAAGATTAGCACATCTCACACAGGGAGAGTAACAGTGGATACAGATGTCTTGAAGTAGACCATAGATTCACAATAGGTTTCCTATGTCAAATGATCGCACTGTAGTCATTTATAGGGAGTAAGAAAGGGCTGGTTAGAGGTTTATGGGACTTTTTAGTGAGATAAAGATTTACTTGCTATCTCCCCTATGGGTAAAGCAATAAAACTCTTTTTATGTTTGTTTTAATTTTGAAAAGGCACACTGTGGAACTGATCTTTCTTTGATACCTGGAAAGGAAACCTCAAAGACCCTGATGATCTTTTCCTTCTCCAAATGTTTATTTCACTCTCTTCTAAGAGGCAATGGGAAGATACCAGCATTGAGGAGCAGAGACAGGCAAGGATGGGAGAAGAGGAGACAGTGAAATAATGAGTCAGCAAGCCAGGTCACAGGGCTGAGGAGGCTGAGCCGGGGGACACCTAACAGGGACCTGGCTCTTCCCAGTGTGGCTGATTCTGCTCTGGGAGGGGCCTCCCCAGGGAGCAGGAGCCACAGGACCAGACCAAGGAACACCAGCAAATGCCCACGTCCTCCTCCACACAGTAGGGGTGACTCTGGATTTAGGCCGTCTGGAGACATACAACAGGAATTTACTGGGCACCTAAAATAATTATGGAATAAAAATGATTTTCCTAATAGCAAAAAAAGGACAATTCATTGAAGAAAGAGTAGGATGAGCTCCTGAAGATTAGTGCTCAGAAACCTCCTGAATATGAAGAAAAGACCAATAGAAGGGGTCACTCCTGGAGCCCCAAGGTGAGGACGCCTTGCGGAGGATCAGATATCTTCCGCCCCCGTGTCAGGAGACCCTTTAAAAATGCAACACAAACATCAGAATTCTCGGCACTTGGCAAATATTTACTTTATGGAAAAATCTCTATATATTATTTGTTTTTCCCCTTACAACACATTAACCTTTTCTGTCACTATAATTGTGCATTATTATACATTTCTGCAGGAGAAAATGTCTGTGAGACAAATACTACGTCCCAGCTACAGGCGAATCCAAGGGAGAGTGGGGGTGAGGAAGTGTGCGGAGGAGAAGCGCACAGTGGCTGGGACGCTGCTGCCCTACAGGTCAGCGCTGCCCGGTAGGCCCTGCTACGCGGGCTCTTTCCCCCACTGCAGGTCTGCAGAGTCTTACTCCACTGCATCACTTGGAAACTTTCACCCCAAGGATTTGAAACAGAATAAAACATAACGTTTTCCCTATCATTTTTTTTTTACTTTTGAAAGTCACTATTATGAATTTGATTTTTTTGTTGACAATGGTGAACAAAGGTCATGTGGCTCAACTGTTTTTCCTGTGCCAATATTCTTGTGCACCTGTTCTCTTAGAGCAGTTTTACAATAAGCTCTAATACCTTACCACACGATGGTCTTATTCATTTATACATCTGATAGTTCTTATTTAGGATCACAGTTACTCTTCTATGTAAACTTTAAAGTCATTTAGGGAAATAAACCCCTTAGAATTCTCATTATAATTAATTAAATGCACAGCACTTTACCAAGGGCTCACATTTTCATGACAGTGAATCTTCCCACTCGAGGTAGTGTGCTTTATTCCTTATTTGGGTTTTTTAAAAGATACTCTTAAAATTATTTTTTGTAAATGTTATAGTTTCCCTCATGTAACTCCTGCCTGAACCTGATTTCTGCATGAAAGAAAAACAGCAGCTAAGTGAGCAGGAAGGGGAAGTGTAAGATGCAAATGAAGGCCAGAAGAGCAGCTGAAGGGAGCTGTGAACACCAATGGGGGAAAGCAGGGGATAAGCCTGGACACCAGGATGGCACTGGGGCTCGGGGACCCCAGCAGGGCCTGGCAGCCACACCCCCACGCCCACCCCAGCCACCAGCTTCTTCCAAACATTGCGGTTATTTCTGAGCTTCTAATTCCAGTTCTTGTAACTTCTCCTGGCATCCGAAGGATCCAGGAAGAAACTTTAACATCAGAGACACACATCCCTGTGGAGGGTCCTAAGCAGTAACCCCTAGGAAGCAGCCCTGCCGGCTGCTTCGGCATAACATTCATGGCAGACTGAGTCTGAAAGAGGCAGTGATAAGAGGGGGGGGGGGGACACAACCATGACATGAGGATGCAGCCTGGCTCAGCACAGATTATTTCACCGCCACAGATAAGGACAGCAACAGCCCCGGCGCCCCCGCCCTGCCCATCCACACGTGCACAAGCAACATCCCAGTCCCGTTCTGCCCCTTGCAAAGAAGCCCAGTGCACTATGCCAATAACCATGCAAGATTCTCCTCGCAGAAAAGGGTGTCTCCTGCTAGTCACCAGTTTTACTCTCTATATTAATTGAGATTTTTGATTTCTCTGTTGACTAAAAGATAAAATGGAGCCTGCTTCACAATCCTGATGCTGTTTTCAAGGAATAATTTATACTAAATATAGGGGAGAGGACATTGCCTGACTGGGACAACAGTAGATGCAAACGACCTGCAGCTCTCATAGGACCGATAGCTGTCAATGGCCTCATAACTTGGCACATATGTTATATTGTTTGTTCCAAGAAAAACAAATCACGTATTATTTTTATAGCCACACGCATGATTTGACAGATGAAGACTTTCTAAAACACTTTCTTCTGTACACAGGTCAGGAAGCTGAGCTCTCTATTCGGACTCATTTCCACTTGTTCAAACAGATGATGAATCTGAATGGAGAAGCTCAACACAATAACCCCAACTCACAGTTCCTAAATCCCCTAGTCTCCAACAACTGCCAAGAGTTTCTGTTTTTCACAACCCTTTGGGAGCGACCTTTCCCTGATCTCCACGCACCATGGGAGCTGTTATGTAATACATGCACCACGTGATTTTAAATTGGGAAAACCCTGAATTCCAGATCCATGCCTTGCACACCAACTGAGGCAAGGGGCCAGGCTACTGGAGGGAACTTAGGCAAGTCACGATTTCTCCTGTTCCTACTTCCTCATTTAGAAAAAAAGAACAGTGGACCAGAGGGCCTCTCAAGAACTTGACCGTAGTTAAATTCTAGGATTCTACCTCATTTCTAGGATTCTAGGTTTATACACTGAAACACATAACATATATGCAACTTTGAATTACGTTGAACTTCTATGAAAGTAAAGGTATTTAGCTTTGCAATTATGTTAGCCAGCTTTCTATTACTATAACAAAGTATCTGAGATGATTAACTTATAAAGTATGAACACGTATATTTGGGCGCACAGCTCAAAACCGGGCAGACCCACTGCCTTCACACTCTGGGGTGCACAGAGGACAATAGTGGAATGTGTGGCAGTGCAAACTACTCACCACAGGGCAGGAAGCAGAAGTGGAAGAGGAAAAGACCCGGAAAAGACCACCAGGCCTTCCAGCCCCTGGCTCTCAGTAACCAAGGATCTCCCACTAGGTCATTGTTAAAGGCTCCACCACCTCTAAACAGTGCCACCTTGTGCACACAGACATTAAAACAGGAGCCCTGGAGAACACTCGGGATCCAGACAGCACACAATGTGTGAGGAGCGTGGGTTCTTGGATGTGTTCTTGGTGCTGTAAAGTAACTGGGGTTTAGTACCTGCTCCCCCCAGCACAGAGGAGATGCCTTCCACGATGGTCTTGTGGATGTCACCGTGGGACAGGATGAACACAAGGGTCCAAAAGGTAATCTTAAAAAGAAAAACAAACGTCAAAATTGCAAATGTCTTTGAAGGGAATCAAAAGCAAAATCAGTATTAGCCATAAATATATAAGCATCAAGGGCAATGTTTAACCTTAAATATATAAGAGAATCAGGAGCATCTCTGAACACACCTAGATTTTATGAGTAAGAGTTGTTCTATATCTCTAAGAGGCTACATTTATAATTTCATTGTTACTATAGTTTAATTATATCATTTATATAGATTAAACTGTGTAAAATAGAAAGAGAGGTTTTTTAAAATCAAGCAACAGAACACTATATAAGCATATATTAAATATTCAGAACAACAAATGCTGACATCTAAGAATATGAATCTCAGCCAGGCGTGGTGGTGCACACCTGTAATCCCAGCACTCTGGGAGGCTGAGGCAGGAGGATGGCAGGTTCAAGCCCAGCCTGGGCAACTTAGCCAGACTTTATCTCAAAAAATTTTTGAAAACGTGTGTGGAGAGGGTTTGTAGTTAGAGATGTGTCTCAGTATAAAAGCTTTCGGTTCAGTCCCCAGTACGGCCCCTTTAAAAAAATGTTAATCTAAAACAAAAACATTTTTAAAGATTTAATTTCCTTAAAATACAAATGAACCAGTAAATATTACTTCCTGCAAGTGAAACATGGTTATTTTAAATAAGCCCAGTACACTATTCTTAAAATCCCACAGACTGAAATATGAGAGCGCCCTCATGAAATGGGGTCACTCACACCTGGCCCATCGAATGCTATGGTGCTGGGTACATCTGCAAGGTCTCCCCTCGACCTGTCCAGATGACCTCATCTCTCTCCTCAATAAGGTATTAAAGACAACATCATGCTGCTCTATGTCTTAAACATTAACTTCCTACTGGGGTAGATGTTTTTGCTTCTAAGGTTTACAATAAAGGAAACCTGTATAAAATCACTGAAAGAAGCAAAGGGACAGTTTCCCTTTCACCTTTTTCTATAAACATTTATTACGAAGTCAATCCTGAAATGACTCGGGCAATGTTCTGTGTAACTGAAGTCTTCTGGCTTCCCTTTGTCCATTTTGTGAAGGAACTCTAGTCTACACCTTGACATAATCCCAACACTCCCCTCCGTGGTGGAAAGAGGAAGAGCAGTTGCCCAAAGGAAAGTGCCCTGGGGACGTTAAATTGACAGGCTGAGGACACACACCATCCTGTTTACAGAAACAAGATGCACAGGAGAGCCAGGCTCCATCTCTCGGAACAGAGTCACTTTGTGTTACCTTGTCCATGTGCACAGGTGAAGAGGCAGGGCTTCAGGGAGCTCTCTTCCCTGGCCCTGCACTCCGCCCTTTCTCCTCAGTGCTAAACGACTGGATTTAATTAAGAACAACGCACACTCGATTCATCTCATTTGAAGAGTCAGCCTTAGTGTTGGGGGGAAACCCTAATGATAACACAAAGACTTTCGGTTACACAAAAGAGGAGGGCAGAGTTGTGTGCGCATTAATTGTGGATCTGCAGACTCACTGAAATTGGGTGCTGACTGTTTTCATGAGAAACACAGATCTCATGAAATCTGTGAACATATTTCTCTCCTCTCTAAAAGATTTCTCTCTTCACTCTAAAAAAAAAAAATCTATGTTCTTTTCTACTTTACAAAACCAAAGTACTTTTTAAAAATGGGGGAAAGTATGTAAAGAGAGTAAGGAGTTAGTGAAATATTCATACGTGATGCAGAATAGGGAGGCAGCAATGTGCCCCTGGGGTGGGTGTGTTCACATTCGGGAAAGGGTCAGACCTGCTGCTCCCAAGGGGACCAACTGGGGTTGGCCAGAGGATGGATTCCACGCCACAGCTGGCTGCAAAGGTGGCAGGCCATGTGGTCCCAGGACTCCAGAAGCAGCTGCCCCATGGCTTTCCATCATACTGGACAGGAGGGGAGGGACAAAGAGAAAAGCTAGGAAAAGCAGACTGAGTATGGCCTCAGCGCCTTGCCCACATGTACCCAGAAACAGGTGTAACCATTACTGATGGCACCTCTGAGATGGGCCAGAAGGTCTGCACCCATCACGGTCAACTCAAATATGGATAAGGCGACTTCTGCCCCAAGAACTTGCCCCTATGGCTGGGGACGTGAGGCACACACGGTGGCAGGGCCACTGTATGGCAGGCAAAACTGCTGTGGGAGCTGAGACGATATGAAGTGGAAAATGCTCCTGAGTTCAGGTCCTTAGAGAGAAGGTGACAGAGAAAGAAGATCCAGGGTAAAAGGCCAGTATTGAGACTGGCTGGAGAAACGTCCTAAGAAGTTCATTCCAGGAGTGGTCTTCTCATAGAAATCACTTCCTAAATGATGACTACTGTCTTGGGACAGTCCACCAAAACACCCTGAGGCTGTGGGGACCTTCCGGGACAGTACTCAGCCCATGGGAAACCTTGGTTCTGAACCCCAAGGGCCTGAGGCAGAGGACAAAGGAGGAGGAGGAGGTAGGGATGTCACCCAGACCCCATCGAGGCCACACTATGCCTCTGGCAGGGCTTCAGCAGCTCCCTCAGCAGTGATGGAGGTCACAAAAGCCAGGACAGAGGCACCACTTGCATCACATCCTGAGCCCTGAGCATCAAGGATGTGGAGGCCAGGGCAGTCTTGATTTCTTGATTCACTGTCCATGTGGCGCTGAAAGCCATCCTTGAGCGAACCAGGGTGATGAGTGTGGTGAGGGAAGGACAGGAACACACAGGGAGCTGCAGTGCTGGGCCAGGCACCAACAGCCACCTGCCATCTCTTCCAGTGCAGCCCTCAGAAGCAGATGGCAGCAATCTCATCTTGCACATGGGGACACTGAGGCACAGTGAGATCACACAACTGGCCTGATGCTGCCTAGCGCTGGGAACTGGCTTTGTACCTGGCTTGAAAGCCTTTTTGAGGTCCCTGCTCACACCAGGCTGCCTCTCGTGAGGTGGACTTCTGCTCATCATCAGACACTTCCTTTCTGAAATGAAGGATTTTCAGCCCAGCGCCGGGAACAAAGGCAAAGCACTGACTTCCTCTGAGTCAGATCAGTGGGGCTTTGTATGGTTTGTGCCCCCTGGGGGACCTTCCTGATGAAATCTTGAAAATTAATCCCCGACAGGAGTGGCTGTTTTGCTGCTGCTCTGGGAGTCGTTTTGAAGTTTGCTTTGCAGTTTTGCCATAGCTTAATCAGTTTCCAAGAAAATTACTGAAGGAAAGAAAGATCAGAGAAGCATACTGGAGGAACATGAAAGCAGGGAAAGGGATTAGACTATTTGTTCTTGTCCACCCCACTGAAATTTACAGTCTCATGGGTGACACATGTTGGAGAAGAGAGGTCAAAATTTCTACTCTTGTCTTTTCCCATTAAATTTTACAATAGGTTACAGGAAGCTAAGGTATTAGGTCTTCAGAGAGGGGAATGAGAAATAAATAATCCTAAAAACGTTTTCCTTATTTCTGTTAGAAGAAAAGGAAAAATGGCCACACTTATCACAGAGATAGATCAAATGTTCTTGTTTAGTAGATAACAAATACATAAAAAGGGTTGCCCTTTAATTTCACATGACATAGGGAGCGGCTGAGGCTAATGTGAGAGCCTTCTGACCCAGGAAACTGGTGCAGATGGACCAGAAGAGGCAATAAATCTTGCGCTCTAATTTAGCTCAGGGCAGCTTTACAGACAGTTTTAGCCAGGCTTGGTGTTGCATGCCTGGGATCCCAGCACTCTGGGAGGCTGAGGCAGGAGGACTGCAAGTTGGAGCCTAAGCTGGGCAACTTAGCCAGACCGTGTCTCAAAGAAAACGTTGATGGTGTGGTTCAGTGTGAAAGCTCCAGAACTGGAAAAGGAAAAGAGATTAGGGAGAGGGGAGGGGAGAGGAAGAGAGGAAAAGGAAAAGAAAAGAGGTTGTTAAAAGCCTCTGCTGTCTTTAGATATAAGGCAAGTTCCAGCGTCATCAGCCCCTCTCTGGGAAAGACAGGACTGAGAGGCCTGGTGATGCCAATGGCCTGAGAACAGGCAGAGAATGGCTCACAGTCCCTGGGGACCTGCTGGGCTCATCTGCGGAGCCCTCTTGCCTTTGCAGAGCAATGGAACTGTGTAGATGACTGGGTCCCAGGTCCGGGGCCTACAGTGATGGTTTTGTGTCTGTTCTCCTTGTTTCCAGTCAGGTTGGAGAACTTAAGCTGCCACCATGACACTCCCTGCCCCTAGCTGGGGTGTCGGGCTTTAAGCTTGACTCTGTTTGAAAGTGTCCATTCCCCTACTTTTTCACCGACCGGGGGGGGGGGGGGGGCGAGCCTTATAGATCTGCAGCACTAACGCCGAGCGCTGTGCCCGCGCAGGGAAGGCTCCCTCGGCAGAACAGAGCCAGCTGGTGGCCAGGGCTAGCTTCTCCCTTGCCTGGCGCTGCCCTGCAGAGCTGGTACACTCTCTGCCTCCTGTGTGACCCAGGCAGATTCCAGTGGGCATTCAGCTTTGCTTTTTATCTCACAACTGAACCACTGAGTCTTTTTCTTTCTCCCTAATAAGTAAGGGGCAGGAGAGGGAAAGGAAGAAAACACAGAGAATGCAGCAGACACAAATGCACTCTACATGGCTGTACTTACAGGAACAGCATTAGACAGAGAGGCCCACAGCATCAGGAGTGCATAGCTCGCACTGTGCCTGTCTGCTTCCCCCTCTACCACATCCAGCACAGCCTGCATTAACGTCTGTTTAAAAGAAATAAATATGGTCAGACTGTGGCCATAGGTCAAAGATTGATACAAACACGAGCTCATGCATCTTCCTTTCGTCCCGGAGCAGAGCACAGGGTGCTGCAGACCTCGGTGGAAGATGCACAGACCTGGAAAAACCCCACCAATAACAAATGACCGTATGCGAGCCAGTCCACACCAATGGTGTCCGATCAAACTCCTTTCTCAGCACACACTCTTAATGATCACAGTTCTTTACTGTCTTCACATGTACTTCAACAAAAGAAGCTAAGGAATACTTACCGCACAGTCATCCCTTTCAGGTTTGTATGCTTTTATATCTGGAATGCTTTCTTCAAACAGTGCCAGGAGCCACCTTTTGGATTTTGACCAGTTTCTGTGAGAGAAAAGAAAAGGATGTGCAAAAATTAAATTGAAAGCCTGTTGGGAATGGGCATCAAAGGGGGAGTCTGTGGGCTTAGAATTCTTTCCCTCCATCTTGTCTTCATTTTCAGGCAGAATTTTCTAGGGGTCTCCCTTCAGAACTCGGCCCAGAGGGACAGTTGAGGGGTCAAAGCCACCACATTCGAGTGTCTTCGTGAAGAAATGTTTGGATTCCTAGTGGAGCAGCGCTGAGTTAGAACACAGGCGACCACTGACTGGCTCGATTTCCTTTTGCTGAGGCTGCTGTCAGCTGAGAAGGATGGAAGCCCAGCACAGGCACCAGCTGCTGGGTGAAGCCAGGCAAGGTGGCTCCCAGCTTCCAATCCTCTCTGAGCAGCGGCCACTGTCCACTACAAGCTGAAGTCTTAGTTCCCCCCGGTGGGTGGTAGGAGAGGGTCTCTGGGCAGTGATGACAGGTAAGCTCACAGAGATCAGCGCCCTTGGAAAAGACCCTGGCAGAGGTGTGTTTGTCCCTGGGACCTCTAGGGGGACACACACACGGTGAAGGTGGCAGTGGGTGATTGGGAAGACAGCCCTCCCACAGCATAAAGCCACCCCGTAGCCCCAGGCTTCCCCACCCGGAGCCAGGAGGCTCGGATTTCTGTTTGTCAGCCAGACTATCTGAATGGATCGACACATACAGCAACCTCCAAGGGATTAAAAAGTCACACTGTTATCGCATTTGAATCATTTCACAAGCACTCATCTGAGCCAGCTGTGGAAATACACCTGGCTACACCTGCCTTTGCCTCAGAGAGAATGGGCTGGGGTGCTCGGCCAGATGACTTCCCAGCTGTGCCAGCTGTGGGCGGGGAAAGGGCCTGGGAGTAAGTGCTCACCCCTGCCCCATTCTCTTTCATTTTGTTCATGAGAAACAGAAAGAGGGAACAGCACGCTTCCCTTCTTTTGTTCCTCCTCAGTTTACATCCACACCAAGAAAGCACAAAGGTGGCAGAAATTGCTTCTCTCCCATGAGAGCTGGTGTCACATCTCCCCGAGAGGGCGCTGAGTGGTGCACAGACTGCTGGGGGGAGCGGGGCCAGTGGGTCAGAGACGGAACACAACTCTACCTCAGCAGCCACTCTGGCATCTGGGATCCGTACTCAAAACCCTCATCATAAATTTGAAAATGCCAGTAGAAATCTTCAATTTTCCTTTTGTGTGAGACAATCAGGCCTTTCTTAAAAAGTACGTTCACTGTGACCGGATAAAGGAGACACCTACAGAGACAGAAACACACAGAAGTTCAGACTCCTAGGCCAAAGGAGAAGCCACAAGACACAAGGGAGGACATAGGCCAGAGTGACCAACTATGGGCAGGTAATATGTGATCGACTCTTCCGGGGAAAAGCCAGTCTCAAGGGTTCTTTTTTTTGGTACCAGGGATCGAACTCAGGACCTTGTGCTTTCAAGGCAAGTAGCAGAACCACTGAGCTAAATCCCTGGCCCTCAAGGGTTCTTAATATTTGCTAAATGTGGTCAAAACAATTCAGAGATGGGGCCGGGGATTTAGCTCAGTGGCCCCTCGCCTGCCTTGCAAGCGCAAGGTCCTGAGTTCCATCCCTGGTACCAAAAAAACCCCAAAAACAACTCAGAGAGAACTGAAATTGTAGTCTTATTTACCTGAGGATTTAAAAATGCTTTCTAAGCAAACATATTATATGCTGACAAATATGAGGATAAACAGAAATAAACTGATTCAATAAGTTCAACAAGCATTCATTCAAAAAATAATAACAACTCAGGTTATGGCCCATGACTGCAGAGAGCAGCAAACAATAACCAAAAAGAGAAGCAGTACTAGTCATCAAACTTCCTGATTGCTCACAGGGTCCCACATACTCAAACTAGTGTGCACAGAAATATAGTACTTATCAATAATTTTTACCATACGTGAATAAAGTCATCACCATGGCATACTTAAGAAAAGTATCAACAATAACTCAAGAATAGTCAATATTCAAAAATAAACTTTGATATCAAAGATAGCACAGAAAATATTTATATTCCTTCAGCTTCTCCTTCTCTCAAAGTTTTAAAAATATCCAAGGATTAGTTTCTTCTCCATAGATACTGGGCATGCATTGGCAGATTCTAAGTTGGCTTCGTTATTTCTGCTTCACCCCAACCACCACCTCTCATACCACATTAATGGACATTCTGCTTTGAATCTTAATTGCTGAACTCTGCCTTCTGTGTTAAGGGTTCGAGGGACAGGTGGTAGAAAAGTGCTTCATGCGATAGTTTTCCAGATCTCTTTATGCGCATGCAGAGTTTTTCTCATGTTCCCATGCCCGCCTTTAACTTCTCCAGAAGGTTTCCAATTGTGACTGCTCCCTCTGTGGCCCTCCAGTCTCTTGGGACCTCACTGCCAGGACAGGCTGAGGACTCAGCCCCGAGGCCCACAGGGACTCGGCCTTAGCTGCCCCTTTTGGACCTGTCACCATGTAATGATTCCATTCTCTCCCATCCCCAACGTGTCTCTCCATCCCACCGATCACGAACTGCACTGAATGGTGGGTGGACAGCGATTTAGGTGAGGTAACTCCATGTGGAACAGACACAATCACTGGAAGGACTAAGGGAAATCCCATAGATGTACTGTATTAAAATGACTGTACTGGCTTACTTGTGTACCATGAAACAGGAATGGAACTGCCCGTTAATTAGAATTTAAAAGATTTAGAGAAATCACTTAATAACCTAGTTAAGTAGACTTCATTAATCTGCCAGGTAATTTGTGAAGCCCAATGTGCTATTTTCCTTTTTATTTGAAGATTAAATTAAATGATATTAAAGCATCAAGTTACCTCACTAAACTGATCAGGTCCATTGTCCCATGAGGGCCTAAATCTTCCAGTTGTTCATGGAATTCTTCATTCAGCCGCCCCATGAACTGATACATGTTGAAAGTCCCCATTTTCCCTTTCATTGTCATATGCAGCTTTTCATGCAGTGTTAGAAAGATATTCTTTGGAACTGATGCTATAAACAGAGAAAACTATTTTCAAAATAAGTCACAGCTCTGAGACGTGTCCACTATACCTCTATTCCTTACTGCATCGGTAAAGACCTTCCCCAACATCCTCGCAGTACATAAAATTACCTCCTGCAAATAAAGTGGACAAAGATTCAACACAGATTGTGAGATAGTGAAGCCTAGAACTTCATTTGCTTTACGGGATGATGTATACATGGGTAATTCAGAGGCCCAGTATTGCCAGCCCCTTCCTCCTCCAAATCTGTGTTCCAGGTATATCAAGAATACACAGTATTTCACATTTCCCAGTGTTTCAAGAAGCTATTCTGGATGCTCAAAACATTCTCTCCTTTACCACCCCAGGCCTTGCCCCATAACCCCACACCCATCAGCTCAAATGCCTCCTTCTAATTTCTATTTATTCCTCCAGGCTCTTCTTGCATATTACTTCTGCCAAGAAGCCTTCCTAACCATGAGTAACTCTAACCCTACTATTTCCTTTATTTTAGAATTTATGTTTCTTCTACGATACACACTTCTGGTTAGATGGGGGGGTGGGAGTATAAGGTTATTTTTTAAACTAATGTCTTTTAGCTTGTTTTATTGTATTTAATGTAACTTCTAGAAAAAATAATTGTTAATTTTCTATTTCCTCATTCTGTTATGTATATTAATTTTATATAAATCAATGAGGAATAAATGTTCCAATCTTCTCTACAGTGGGAGGACATAGGGGAGGGATGAGAAGTTGGCTCGAGATAATGTTCACACACTTCACCTGTTAAACAGAAATATTTAAGCACAAAAGGCCCCAGAGAGGACACAGGTGAAAAGCCTGCCAGTTTTCACACACTTGCAGTAGGTAAGGGATGTGTGCTCCTTGGTGAGGGTCTCTCCAGCCATATGTCAACAGCATTAAACAGAGAATTTAACCAACGTGTTGAGATCTGCATGCAAGCAAGAAGAAAAAATAATCATGGCATTAATCACTGATAGATTTGAAAAGAAACTTTTTTGTCTCAATGGCAAGAAATGCATGAGAGACTACATGAAAAAGAACCTAGGATCCTGAGAAGAATAAAAATGAGGCAGGAGAGAAAGAAGACGCAGAGGGTAGAAGTCAAGTGTGAAGGCAGAGGAGGGGCCAGCTTTGCATCTGGGGTGGGCACTGCCTTCCGCACATACATCTGCAATCCGGGGAGGGCAGAAGTCAGACAGCCACATGGCAGCACACGCACAGTGCCACCAGCAGTCCCTAAGTGAGAGGGAGAACTCGTGAATGGGGAAGTCAAGGCAGGCTCACCTCGCCAGCCCTGTGCAGAAATGTCAGAAAAACCCACACAAGAACTGGGATCGTAGCTCAGTGGCACAGCACCTGCCCAGAAAAAGCCATGCTAATGGGCTTTCCAAGCAGGGCAATTCCACCTGCAGGATGCAGAGTCACAACAGAGAATCAAGCCAAGAGCTACAGGCTGCAGACAATGGTACACTCAGCAGCAGGACAGGGACTGCAGCATCTTGGGTGTTGTCCCGCAATACGGATTCCAGATATTCTCTCAAAAAATATCTACTGGTGAGGTAATTCCATCTCCTTCACATCTACTTGAAATTTAAATATATTCAGCTGCCAATAATTGAGTTTTCAATCTTCACACACTCTTTTCAGAATAAAAAAGTGCAGGCCTGTAATCCCAGGACTGTGGGGAGGCTGAGGAAGGAGGACCCTGAGTTCAAGATTAGCCTTGGCAACTTAGCAAGACCCTATCTCAAAAGAAAAAGAAAAAGTTCAAAGGCCAGAGATGTCCCTCAGTGCACAAGTCCCAGTCTCAATCACTGGTGTTGGAAAAACAAATTTTTAAGGAATAAAATAATGGGCTTTCATTTCATTCTCGATGGATTGAGGATATAATTTTTACCTAAAACTTTTCTTGGATCCCAATGTTTTACTTCAAATGAACTATCTGAAAATATTTTTACCTGTGCGGTAGACGGGATATTGTACTGCTAGTTCAAAATTTACTTCTTTGGATTTTAGAAACACATCGATTCCCTCTTCTTCAGTAACAAAGGTCATTCGGTTTCCCATGGCAAAGATGGTAAATATTGGTCCATACTGCAATAAAACACATAAATAAACATAGAGAATGTTAGTGAGCATTTCTAAGCCATGGGTTAGGTTTAAGGTAGTTTTCTTAAAGAACTCCAAAACTGAAGCTATGGTCAAGATAAAAATGATTTATCTAGTAATTAATTATAAATGTTGACAGTTTTAGACATATTAAAATGATATAAATCTTAATTTGTGCTGTCCTAATAATGTTTATAAAATACTATTATTTACTTATATTTTCCTTTCTCGTGGTGTGAAAAAATAATTGTAAATAACAATTAAAAATCTGTCAACACTGTGATCTTTGAACATTATTTTCAATACATCCATAGGCTTATACACAACCTATAGCTCAAGAATGTTGCTCAAGAAAAAGAAGCACAATTGCCAGCTATTTTGCACGAAATAATTTTCATTAACTTTTAACTATATTCAGCATTTTCTTCAATTATGAAGGTGGGTAATAAACCACATATCATCAAAAGAAACTATCATACATTCATACACTCATGACGTCACTATAAAGATCTCAAAACATCACTTATGCTCATCACTACTTCAATCTTAGTCACTTCCACCCCTCCCACAAAATGGCAAATGATTACCCCTGCCATACAGTGTTGGGCGCCACCAGGCAACTGTGGGCCTTGGTAAAGTCCCATTTTCTCACGCTAACGAACCAGACACCTACACTGCTCCTCGATATGACCTTATCTACAATTGTCGCTAATCAAGATTCAGAAGATGAGTCATTTTCATTGTTAAAGTTTTGTTTGAGAATTAACTTCCCATTAGGGAAGTGAGCTTCGATAACATGTATAGGTAGAGGACACAAGTGTAGATGAACCAAGTTCAAACCTACTGAACTGCTGGGATGGCTGCTGACATGTGGCTTTAAAGTCACTTATTGAAATACAACTGCATAATGCAAAATGGCCATGTGCCAAGTTATAAATTCTACAGCAGGTCATAGGTGTTTTGTTTTTCTTGGTTCTCCTTTCCTTGTGCAATCTCAGTATTATGAAGCAAAGGTAAGCATACACTGTATTTTTTTTTCTAGACAGGGTGTCACTATGTAGTCCAGATTGGCTTTAAATTTACTATGTAGCCCAGGCTGGCCTCAAACTTCCAGAAATCCTCCTGTCTCAGTTTCCCAAAGTTCTGAAATTACAGGCATGTTCCACCACACCAGGCATCACTGCATGTCTCACAAGCGGTGCTTGTTTTTTGTTTGGTTTTGAGACAGGGTCTTACTGAATCACTAAGTTGTCCAGGTGGGTTCAAATTTGGGCTCTTCCTGGCTCAACTTCCTGCTGCAGCCTGTGATTACAAGCGTGTGCCACCATCCCTAGCTTCATGTATTTTTTTAAATTAAGCTTTTTGAGACAATTATAGATTAACTGTAGCAATTGTAAGAAATATTAGAGAGATCCCATGCACTCACAACTGTTGCCCAGTGTTACTATCTTGTCTTTTCTTTCCCTTGGTTGATTGCACTAGCTGAAACTTCCAGCACTATGCTGCTAAGAGCAATGATAACAGAAATCTTTGCTTTCTTCCTAATCACAGAGGAAAAATTTAGTCTCCTACTAGTTATCAAATTTTTGTACATGTTCACGATTGAGACGAGAAAGTTCCCCTCTATCCTAACTTTCTGAAATTTTAGTTACTTTTTTAAATCATAAAGAAGTACTGAGTTTGGTTAAAGGCTTTTCTGCACCAACTGATATGATCATGTTTTCTCTTCTGTAGCCTGTACAAATGATGGCTTACACTGATTTTCAAATCCTGAACTGGACTTGCATCCTTGCAATGGACTCCTCTTGGCAATTCCTTTCAAATACTGCTAAATTTTATTTGTTCGGTTTTTTTTTTTTTTTTGCTTACCAGGGATCGAACTTGGATCCTTGTGCTTGCGCAGCAGGCAGCGAAACCATGGAGATAAATCCCTAGCCCATTGCTAGTATTTTGTTACGTATTTTTGCATCTATTTATCACGGATAGCTGTCTATAGTTTTCTTCATACTGTCTTTGGATTGTTATCAGGATAATACTGTCTTCCTAAAATACACTGGGAATAACTCCCTTCTCTTCTTTCTGAAAGAGATGGTATACAACTGGTTTGTTATTTCTTCTGTAAATATTTGATTATATTCTGTAAATATTTAATTCCAAAGTAGCACAATGTGGGCCTAGAGAATTGTGGGGGGTAGTCTACTAAAATGATCCATTTCATACAGAATAGTTGTGGTAGTTATGTTTCGCCATGAACTGGTCCACTTTCTCTAAGCTGTTGAATTTACATATGCAGGGTTATTCATAGTATTCCCTTGTGTTTCTGCAAATCCGCAATGACACCCTCAATTTCATTTCTAACACGGGTCATCTGTGGCTTCTCCCTCTTTTTCTCTATTGGTCTTGCATGATGTCTGGCAATGCTGCTGATCTTTTCAAATAACCAACTCTTTGTTTCACTAATTTTTTTTCTATTACTTTTTCTTTTCTGTGTCATTGATTTCTGTTTTTTAAATTTCTGTCCTGTCATTTTTTCAAATTTATTTTGCTCTTCAGGGATGATTCTTGAGATAGAAGTTCCCATTATTGACCTCAGACTTTTCCACTTTTCTAATGCAAGTACCTAGTTGTAAAATTTCTATGCTGTATTTTTATTATTTTATTTTGGGGGTGCTAGGGATAGAAGCTTGGGGTACTCTATTATTGAGCTGCACCCCCCAGACCTTTTTATTTTTTGACAGGGTCTCACTAAGTTGCCCAAGCTGGCCTTCAACTCGCAATCCTCTGGCCTCGGTCCTCAAGTAGCTGGGATTACAGGTGTGTGTCAACATGCTTGGCTCAGTTCAATGCATTTTTTATTTCTAAGAGACCAAGTTAAAATATAAAGACTTAAAACAGCTGCAAGTAAGTGATAGGGAAAGATGCAATCTACAAACATTAACCCAAAGAAAGTTGCAGTAACTAGAACATTTTAACTCAAGATAAGATTAAGTACTACAGATGAGGCCATTGAATCTCTGAGAATGGTAAGCAAGTGTCCATGGCAATGGCTGCTGTAGTAGGCAGGTGGGAGAAGCTGTTTAATTAAGCTATTTGCTGTAGAGAACTCTGCCCTACAGGGGGCTGCTTGCCAGCTTATTTCCACGCTCTGGTGGGAGGCAAATACCATTTCCCTCAATAGAATGCTGAAAAAATCATGACGCTTAATTTTGCCAAGATTTCCCCAAGGGTTTACATAAACTGTTCATTAACTGGAATTTTGCAAAATACCCAACCTTGGTCTATGCACTTTGGGACACTGTATTTCCAAACAATGTTTTCAATGTGTCAACAAATAGATCATCTTAGCTACAGATGTGCAGCCTGGGACAGGTGTAAGTAGTACACTTTCAACATAACATCCCAGGGAAAAGTCCTAGAGATTTTATCAAGGTTTTATGCTTAAGAAATTATAAATCACGTCTCACTGGACATACTGGTGCATGCCTATAACACTGGTGAGAGTGGAGACAGGATTTTGAGTTTGATTCTAGCTTGGGCAACTTCACAACTCAGTGAGACCCTGTCTTTTTTTCTTTTTTTTTTTGGTACTGGGGGGATCAAACTCAGGACCTTGTGCTTGAGAGGCAGGCAGTGGCACCACTGAGCTAAATAAATCCTGGGGCCCAGTGAGACCCTTTCCTGAAAGAGAAAGAGAGACAGAGGGGGGTGGGGTGGGGGGACTGGGGCTTTAGCTCAATGCAAAAGTCCTTGGTTCAATCCTCAGTACTGGAAAAAAAACTATAAATCCTATCATATGCTTGACATAACCAAACACAGTCTGAAATTTAAACAAAATCCTCTGTATTCAGAGTTTCAGGTTTTAAACACACAGTTTTCTATTGTGATAGAATTTACTAACTAGAGACTGGGCCCCAACCATCTCAAAGGTCAACTAGAGTAGGATCCATGCCAGGATGACATGGTGGGTGGCAGGCTTCGGTTATCCACAGTCTACTAAAGGTTTTAGTTCTTTGATGGTTGTAGACCAGGGTCCCTGTTTCTGGCCCTGGGAGTCTCTCCATCGTGGCAGTTTGTCATCAGAGCCTGCAAGTGGGGTAGGTGGCAGGGTCTGCTATCCAAATGGCAGCCTGATCCCAGAAGCAGCATCCCAGCACCCATGCCATTGGGTTCATCAGAAGTGAGTTCTTAGGATCTGCTGACATCCAGGAGGAGGTGACTGCAAAGGGAATGGGCAGTATCAGGTTGGAACTGCTGTGGGTTATCTTAGAAATCTGACTACCACTCATTTATTAATCTGGAAGCCTGTAACGTAAAGATAGCAATATCTATGCATCTTAAAAAGAAAAAAGAATTAAGAGTTCAATAGAACCAATGTGTGAAGGCTTCGGTATTTTGGACACAAAAATAGTGTGAATGGTATGTTAGACTCTGCTTATAAAAGATGGAAAGTAAGAATCTATAAATGAATCTGGTTGTATATAGCTCAAGAAAAGATGAAAGGATATATAAAGAATGAATCATGGTGCTACCAAGGTTAGGGATGAGCGCTGAGAACTGAGTGGGAGAAAGCTCAGAGATTTTTCACTTAACTTGTCATATTTAACATTTTTTGAACTATATCAATTCATAACCCAAAGATTAAATAAAAACAATGGGAAGACTTTTGTGGTCATCAAAGTTTTCTCTCCCTTCTCCAAGGCCAGAAAAAGCTGGGGGAGACAGCTTATGACAAAATTTTAGGAGTCATTTCTTAAAGGTTCAAAGTGCCATAAAGTGTGTCTTACCGACTTGCCACTTAGATGCAATTTCCCCTCAAGGCTACTGGTTAGAAACTATTGCAGCTACGGTGAAAAAGCAGAACGAGCCCTGCCCACCCACCCTGAACCTGGTTCACATGTGGGGACTGATGATGTCATACACACTAAAAGGGTACGAACACATTTATCATTTACACTGCAGGACTCTGCTGGGACTAGGATGGCTGCTGCCCTCCAACCCTGATCTGAAAACGGCCTGAGGAAGCGCCTGGGCTGGAGGCTTTATTATGGCTAGGGAGTGGGCTCAAGGACCCATTCCTGCTTGAGAGCTGGGCCTTCTGTGGTTTAAGTCTTCCCTGGCACCCATGTGGAAAGAAAGTGTGTCCATCTTTTCTTATCAACCTGCCCAGGTGGAGGATACAAGGGAAGGAGGCAACAATGAGGTCTAAAAACTTTCAGCAGCCAAACACCACACAATCCTGTCATATTCTTTAATTTAGTACCAGAAAAAGATCATTTATACTCTTCCACATGACAGTTGACTCAAACAACTTGTTTCCTTTAACCAGGAAAGCTACAAAGCCCTCACAAATATTTGATCTGAGACAAGCTTGTAAAAAACATTTCTCAAGAGTTATCAAAGTCATCACCTCTCAGCCTTTTGGCTAAGATCAAGTGAAGAGTTATCAAAGTCATGTGCCTATGGTGGACAAGGAACATTTCTTTAGAAGAGAGCTTTTTTCATTTATCAGACTAGTGAAAGTTACACAAAGTTACAGTATCCAGTGCAGCCCAGAATCTAAGTCAGGCAGTTCCTCACACTCAAGGGAGGGTAAAAAGTGTACATTATGTATCTTTTACAAGGGTAACACAATAATATAAACAACTTCAGTGTGCAATTCTACTTTTAGGAATTTATTGGGAGGAAACAATCAGTTAAGTACAAAATGTACAATCACATACACATGCAAGTATGGATATCAAAGCATTAGTTGAAATTTTTTTAAAAAGTTGACGACCTACATATCCTAACAATTTGAGTAAATTATCATATCTTCAAGTGATGAAAGATAGCCATTAAAACAATTTACATACTTAATGATATGGCAAAATTATTCACATTAAATGTTAAATTGCAAAGCACATAAAATAGTAGTACAGTATTATTCCATTGTTTACTAAATAGTTTGTATAGAAAATAAAGCCCAAATAATACACACTACATTTTTAAAGTGTTTTATTTAAGATATGACATTTGGATTACATTTATTGTCGTCTTAGTTCTCTTTGGAATTCTCCAACTTTAAATCTACTGTATATTGAAATCTTAGACTTTCAATACAAATGATCAGTAGTATATATAATGAAACTGTGTATGAAATTATTCTGTAAATTGGGTTAACTAGCTAGGAAAGTATGTGCAGAATGTGTCAGCTTAGAAAGTATTGTAGTACAACACATACTAGTGATGATGGTTAGTATCACATAAATTTATTAGATAATCAAATACCACAAAATCTTGGTGCTGGAAATTGGATTAAAAATTAAAAGGCTAATATGTCTGTTTCCTAAAGTGCTTCAGTACTGGAAAGACTCTTTAAGGTCAAAAACATCTATTCCAACAACGATTCCTAGTGTTCTTAGGGTGAAGTGAAAATATAGGCTCATTGTTATCAATAACAATACCAGCCGAAAGAACACTGTCCCTGAAATTTGTAAAGATCAATTTTGCAAGTAATTTTCAAAATATCCTGGTGTTAAGTCCATTTGGGGGTATAAATTCATTATTCATTTTCACAAATTCTAATAGTACTACCCTTCTGTCTTTCCGAATTATTGCAATTATTAACATATGTGCACTTAGAATTTAACTATGCTGAAGTAACTAGCACTTAAAAGCTAATCTCTACTTCCAATAAGGCAGACCAAACTGAAGCTTATTTCTTATTTTAACTAAGTATTTTTTTGTACCTGTTTTTAGCGCATGACTACATTCCTCGCGGGGAGCTGGTACATGTAATTTTTTCACACACACCGCCCCCCGAAATGGACTTCGTATCTTTCCCCAAACCTGGCGTGGAAAACGTTGCTCATCTCCAGCGGAGGAATGAATAAACTAGACTAGAAGTGTGTTCCCGGTGTCCTGGCCCTTCTTTCACTGACAGCCAATGAAAGAAAATCAGAAAAGGAAACACCCTCTCCTTCGAAGGCCCTGGCCAGCACCTACCTGAGCCCGGGCCTGCTCGATGAACTCCAGCGGGGCCTTCCCGAACCGTAGCCCGGCGCCCACCCAGGGAATCCAGCCCGCGGCGCACGGGGGTCGGCGCGGGCCTCGGCGCCTCAGGACAACGAGCAGAACGACGCCGGTCAGGAGCGCGGCCACCACGGCGACTCCCAGGTCCAGGTCCCCGAACATCCTCCGGGGTCGGGGAAGCAGAGACAGTCCTTTCCCGGCCTCCCGGGTCCTGCGGGGTACGCCATGCACTACCCGCAGGGACTCCTCCGCCCCGCTGCCTCTTCGCCCCTCCCCAGACACCTGCGCGCCAGTAGCATCCTCACTCCCGCCCACTTCCGCTTCTTATCTGGATTCCGAAGGGCCCCGGACAGGGCCAGCCAAGCGAGGTGCGCACGCGCAGAGTCTGGGTGCCCAGATGAGTAGTTTGCGGACTCCATCTCCCAGAAGCCGCCGGGGTCCGGTCACAGCGCTGGACCGCTCCTTGTACAGCCGCGGCTAGAAGCGATGTCCCTCGGTGCCCGCCGGCTAGCTGACTCGCTCCGCTGCCCCACCTCGCTGGATGTCCGTCCCAGAAGACGAGGACTCGCTCACGCAGCGATGGCCTCGGGCCAGCAAGTTCCTGCTGTCAGGCTGCGCGGCCACCGTGGCCGAGCTAGGTACGGGTTTCCAGCGGGGGCCGCCAGGTCGCGGGAGGGATGGGGGGGGGGTGGTAGAGAAGGATGGAGGGATAAACGGAGGGAGGGATGGAACGAAGGAGAGATGGATAGAGGGGTGGAGAGGTGGAAAGATGGATGGTAGGATGGAGGGAAGAATGGAGGGGTGGGTGGAAAGCTGGATAGAGGGGTGAATGAAGGGAAGGATGGAAGGAAGGAGGAATGGATGAAGGGAGGGAGGGTCAGAGGGAAGGAGAGGTGAAGGGGAAGATGAAGGGAAGGATCGAGGGATGGAGAGGTGAAGGGATGGAGAGAGGAAGGGGTAGAGAGATGGAGAAGGATAGATGGATAAACAGGGAGGAAGAGAAGGAGGGAGGCAGCCTGGGCCTCGCCCCTGGATGGGAGGGGCAGGGCAGGCCTCTCAGAGGGCCCAGGTTCCTGCAGGCCTGCCTGCCTTCAAGTCCACAGGGGCCTCGGGTGTGTTCCTACGGCTGGTGGGAACTTCTACACCCACTCCTGCGATCATCTTCCCTTTAGTCAGGGTGACCCTTTTAAAAACCATCCACTCTGCATCCTTGTTGGGATCATGTTTTGTGCGATCACTGTGTCTTTCAGATCCAAGTTATGGACCTGCCTTATGGGGCTTCAATGATTAACCATTCATTATTGAGCAGCTCCTTAACCTTAGCCAGTTACCTAACTTCTTTGAGTTGGACTCATCCATACTGTTTGCCTTAAGGAAGGCTACTGAGCCAGGTGTGGTGGCATGGGCCTGTAATCCCAGCACTTGGGAGGCTGAGGCAGGAGGATCACTGGAGGCCAGCCTGAGCTACATAGTGAGTTCTAGGCCAGCCTGAACTGCAAAGTGAGACCCTGCCTCAAAAACAAAAACAAAAACAACAAAAAAAGAAAGGATACTGAGAAGTCAAGGATATATAAATGCTAAATCCAAGGCAGGGCACCTATGGAGTGTAACATGATTATAATGACTACAGGGCTAGGGCTGAGGCAGTGTGGCTGAAAGGACCATGATCTGACCTTCTTACAGGCTGCTGGGGAGACATGCAGAGAAAGACAATTACAATGTGCTACTTATTATGATGATGCTATTTTCAGGTCTCATAAGAGCTTAGAACAGTCATAGCTTCCTAAGTGAGCAGAGAAAACTTTCAGAGACCACCTTAGAGTGGGATTATGGTGCCCTTGCATGAGCTGGTGGTGTTTCTTCCTAGAAATTTGTGAGTATAGAGTGCTTTAACTGTGTATTTCAAGATTACTGTACGTTTCCTAGCTCATCAAAAAGAAAAGGAATAAGGTATATCTCTGATGCATTAGTCATTTGTAAATACATGTCAGACCAGTTCTAATATGATTTTATTTTCTATTTCTACCACAGCAGGCACATGTTCTGTTCTTGTCTTCTACTCTTGCCCTTTGGCTTCTTGGTTTTTCTATCTACTCTCAAAGCTGATGGAAAATTTTTACTTTTTATTGTTCCTACTGAAACAAAGTTCATTAGCATTTAAAGAAATCTAAAATCAGATGGCTGAGTAATAGTTGTATTTCTAGGGTTTTTTTAAACTGATGGTTCTCCCTCTGACTCAGTGGCTTTTCTACAAGAACACTCCTCTGGTTGAAAATTCATGGAGAGAATTGTGGAGAATGTGGATAGGAGGCCAAGGAATCAAAATATTCCCTGTTTTGAGTACAAATTGATCCAGGATCAGAACTTGAAATATTAAGTAACCAGAAAGAAGGCAAAAAAATTAGCTTTCAAGATATCATTTGTGCTTAAATAGAGGTTTCTGTTTCTTCAGGTTTCTTTTTTGGGTTCATATGCAATAAAAAAAGTTGTTTGAAGTCTCTACATACAAGCTACTTGTGTTTTAGGGAAACCAGTGGCAAGATATTAACTTTCCAAAGCAAGTAGTTAGATTTAATATTCTTTGCCCCTCTCCTTGTTCTGTTTTCTCTTAGAAAAGGAATGGTTATTGAAAAGTATTACATAATGTCAGTAATGTTCACAAACTTGTCTGAATGTCATCATTTCAGTTATTCAGGACATTGTATGTATACAGTCAAGAGCTTGGCATTCCTTATGTGGGTCAGGTAGCTTACCTGACAATAAAAGATCTATCTCTAATTCAAAATATAAACAGGCTTTTTTTTTTTACAAGTACTTTTAGAAGGTCATATACACAACTTATCAGGACTGGAAAAACAATTCAATATATGCCTTAACTGAAAGAATATTGAGCATACTTTCCTTGTATATGAAAGAAAATGTTATAACATCTGTTGCATCTTTTGTACATCAGGTCTGTGTTTCATTGGCATGTGAAAGTCACCCATGAAATTGTGGAATTCAGCTTCATTTTGTGTTTATTGTAGTACACAGCATGTATAGCACAGTTTCTAAGGCTGGGTTTTAAACATCATGGTGCAGTCAGGGGTACACCACAGAAAATAGATACTTTACTTCTCATTTAAAAAGCAAAGTTTTAGAGTAGAATATAGTCTGAACTTTCTGATTAAAGAAATGCAAGTGTTGTCGCTTTTTTTTTTTTTTTTACTGGTAGTCTGGAATGCACTGGTGAAGTGATTTTTACATTTGTGAGTGCACGGCAATCAAATGATTCTGAGTTCTCATCAGCCTTAGGAAAACACTAGTCCTATGCTTTTAGAATTTTTGTTTGTTTCTCTGAACGTTGTGGGTTTTTTCCCCTCATTTGTTCTTTCTCGTTAGCAACCTTTCCCCTCGATCTCACAAAAACTCGACTCCAAATGCAAGGAGAAGCCGCTCTTGCTCGGTTGGGAGACAGTGCAAGAGAATCTGCCCCCTATAGGGGCATGGTGCGCACAGCCCTAGGAATTGTCCAGGAGGAAGGCTTTCTAAAGCTCTGGCAAGGAGTGACACCGGCCATTTACAGACACGTAGGTATTTATCTTGATTCTAGCTGGTAAGTTTGTTATGAGTTATGTGTTCATCTCTTCTTTTTAGCTGTATCCCAAAACTAGCCAGTGCCTTTCTGCCCTGCCAGTATGACAAAAGAACATGCGATCTTTTGGGAAGAAAAAAATGAACTACCGGTTGTTATTAAGTAGTTACTCCCCTTGGTTTTTATAGATACATCCTGAAGAATTGAGGGATGAGCTGTTATGATGTCTGTAAAGTACTTTAAAATAATTAAGGGAAAAAAAGAAGCACATGGCACAACAGTATTAGCAATTAATAAATCTTAATGGTAGATACAAAGTGAGTTATAATATTGTTTTCTCTACTTTCCTGTATATTTGAAATTTTTCATAGTAAAATATTTTAACAGGTTAAGAGTTGATACCATTTTCCTTTACTTCATAAACTTTAGACACAGAATTTAATGTTTTTATGTTCTTTGAGAATTATCTGTTTACTACAATGCCAAGTCTCATGAATCTTTGCACCATACATCAGCAGCCAGGCTGTGTGAAAGAGAACAAAGATTCCTAAGCTAACTCTAGCCACAGGCTAAATGCAACACAGGTGAGTTCTGCCTAACTAAGTCTGGGAGCCATTAATAGTAATTATGGCAGAACAGTAGCAGCTATGCCAATGTAAGTACTTCCTGCTCTGCTCCCCAAGTGGCACTCACAGGACTGAAAATTGCTAACTTCTCAGCTTGTGGGCAGAAGCAACAAATTTAGCTTCTAAAGGAGGTCAGACAGGTGTGGCACTTCCTCCTCCACCTTCGTGTTTTCTTAGGTGTGCAGGGATCTTTGGTCAGAAAAGTGCCGAGTTCTAATATTTATTGGCTTAATTTTGGGGGGGGGGTACCGGAGATCGAACTCGGGTCCTTGTGCTTGCGCAGCAGGCAGCGAAACCGCTGAGCTAAATCCCCAGCCCCTTGGCTTAATATTTTTAAAGATCAGTTCTTCAAATGAGAAAGTTAGAGTGTATTTATCAAGAACTAGCCAGAATTGTGCAGAGAGAATACTGCTTTGATTTGATTTTTTTTTTTTTTGGTACTGGGGATCAAACTCGGGTCCTTTCACGATTTGATATTTTTGATTATCTTAAAATACAAAATGAAACTTCCTGAAATATTAAGAAAAGCTCTCTGAGTGAATACCATGTGTTGATTTTAGTAAGTTGATGTACCATCAACTTTCTCCCATTATTATTCTGAGTTTTGCTTCTTTTCATTATTATTATTCTGAGTTTTGCTTCTTTTCATTTGTATTTTTGCTGAGCATCATATATCATCTTACAGTTTTCATTTCACATGTTCGACACTTGACTGAAATAAATTACATTAATATAATAAATTTTCCAAAGAGATTATGTATGTTTATTCAGTGAAATCCCGTTGTGTACCAAGCTATGAGCCAGGGCCTTTGACATTATACAGACACGCAGAGCCTGCTTGTAGAATCTCATGTCTGATGGAGCAAGAAGAACTTCATTGCTAATCAGTTTGATCATTGCTATGTTAGTGTCTTAGTTACTTTTCTCTCATTGCTGAGACAAAATACCCAACAAATACCCAACATCCACAATTTAAGGGAGGAAAGGTTTATTTAGTGTTTGTAGAGGGTTCAGTCCATAATCAACTGGCTCCAAGGCAGGGTGGCTTGGCAGAGAACAGTTCATGGTGGGCAGAGGGTAGCAAAGCAACAAAGGACCTCAGCAGCATCTTTCTGCCCCTTTTGTCTTATCCAGACTACTTAGAGTGGGTAGCACTTACACCCTTAATCCTAGTGCCTTTGCGCCTAGCATTGCACCATGAATCATTTCTAGCATCACACACTCTAGATCCAGCCACCTCTAAAAAAGCCCCACCTATGACTGCATGAGGATTTGGGGGGACATCTAGACACAGGCATAACAGTTAGAGTATACTGTACTGGCCTAGAACCTCAAGGGAAAGGCTAGAGAGCACTTTCTGAAAAACATATTTTTTGAGTTGAGTCCTAAAATGAGTTAACAAAGAAGAAAAGGGAAAATGTATTCTAGAGAGATCGGACAGCGAGCAGAAAGGCCTGAGACCTACAGGGTTATGCCCCAGCTGGAGAAATACCAAGCAGCCCGTGTCGGGAGCGTGTATCACAGCTATAGAGGGACAAGGCTGGGTCACATTGTCCTCTTGTTTATTAAGCGCAGAGCTGAATTTGCCTTTTTTAATGACCTGTTTTACAGTGTACTCTGGGGGTCGGATGGTCACTTACGAACATCTCCGAGAGGTTGTCTTTGGCAAAAATGAAGATGAGCATTATCCCCTTTGGTAAGTCTTGTTTTGAAAATAATACCATACACTATAAAAGCACTCATGTTTATCTGTGAGATTTATGTAGAATTGTACATTTGTATTAAAATTGCCTTGAGTTATAAATTAAAACCATAAGTAATTTTAATCTAAATTCAAATAATTGAGCATTTACTGCCCAGTGTGTATAGACATAAAGTATATAAATATATAAATTGTGCATAAATAGGGATATTATTTGTATTTGAATGTTAAGAGAATTGTAATGGAGCACCATTTATTTTTCAAATATCAGTCATTTTTTATTATTATTAGCTTTGTTTGGTGAATAGAAATATAATACATTAAATTTCACACACGTTCAACCTAAGCCCTGTGTTTCCTTTTGCCCTCATTGCTTTAAGTGAAGAAGAATTAACTTGGATCACCTATGAAGTGCATAGTACAGTGGATATAAATAGAATAACTTTCTTTCTAAAACTTTTTTACTTTAACATTAAAATAGAAGACAAAAAGAAGGTAGGTTGGATGTGCCTGCTTGGACTGTGCATTGCAGCACTTATAACAATCAAAAGACATTCTCTATTCTAGAAATGCTATTTTGATGATGCACTTTGGAAACTCTAGGCTTTATGTATCTGATAAAATCCTTAAAATTTTTCACGTTTAATGCATTTGGCTTACATGTACACCTAAATTTTCTTTGGATATCATTGATCTCAGAACTCAATTTCTAAATGAAAAATGTAATCTTAGAAAGAAGGCATATAAAGAATAAACAAAACAACATCTTTTCTTCCAGAGAGGTAACCCCAGATTAATGCATTTTTTTCTTTCTGGGTATAGCTTTTATATTATCAGAAGTTTGTATATGATCCAGTTCTTTAAACCTATCTCAAGGAAATAAACCATTATTCCTATTTTGAATTAGTCCAATGAAGTAAAAAATGAACAGTTAAATTTGTAAGTTTCTATACTTAAGCAAAGTTCTTACTTGTTTCAAGCCATTGAATTTTCCTCTTGGCCATTGTTGTAGCTGATTTAAACTTCTTAAAGAAAAATACCTAGGAATGGATTTGGCAGTTCTATGATTATAGAAGATGCCAAGTTTCTATTTTTGCTTTTTTTTTTTTGGAGCCTAAGGAGGCATCTGAGGAGAATCTGCATTCTGTGAGTACATGTCTTCTCCAAACAAGTCTTGGTGTGCTCACTTCGGCAGCACATATACAAACAAGCCTTGGTTTAGCAAACAGCAGTACATTAGAATCTTCTCATTTTCTAAAGTTTGGATTATAAATTTAGGAGGTTGAAAAACTGCCTAACAGTGGAGGGATCTGAGCACATAAATTAATATACTTCATTATCCAAATGTGAGAATGAAGAATGTGTCAGAATTACCAAATCCTTGTCTCCCTTGGTATGTAGGTGTGTCTGGCAGTCCTTTGAGTCAGCTGTCTTTGACCTTTTGGAGATCCAGCTCTAGGGTTTCTCAGTATCTCTTCATCTCTTGTCGCCTTTTCTTCCTGCATAAGCCCCATCCTGGGTGACTGCATTGGCCCCTTCTCAGTAAGCACCCTGTCGTAGTCCTCAGTGTCCCCCAAGGGGAGAGCAGTGCTGAGACAGAGCCCTTGGGTATTGACTGACTGGTGTCTGCCCTTCTAACCTTCACCACACCCTCATGTGCACACCCTCCGAGTCTCCAAGTCAAGCTCGTCCCTATAGTAATATACTTCTTCATTCTGTGACTGTCTCTCAGACTCATACCATCATCATGTCATTGCTGGTTCCTAACCCCAGTGACTTCGGTGACTTGGACTGAGCACCTCCTTCTCCCTGTTGTGGAGGAACTGTGGACTTCGGGGTCAGGCGGAGAGGAGCTCTGATTCCCACTCTGGTTCTATGTAACTTGAGAAAGGTCTTCGCCTGCTTTTCCTTCAGTTTCCTAACTGTAGAAGTCAGACCTACTGTTAGGCTTTTGTTTCGTTGTAGAAAAGATAATGAATACAAGTGCCTATCACTTATAACAGAGACATAAAAAATAGAACTCCCAACCAGCAAATCAATAAAAACATCAAGTGAACACAATGGAAAAATAAGGAAAGGATGTTGGTAGTTCCCCCAAAAAGAAATATAAATGTTTGTTTAAAATGTCAAAATGTTGAGCCTCATCAATAATCAGGGGAATTAATTGAATTATCTTTATCAAACTAAAAGAAAATGTAAGCTATGATAGCCTTTTAGTAGCATAAACTACTTGTTGAGACTTTGAAATGTGTAATCCTTTGGGCCCACTTCTTCTGTGTGATTGTAATCTTCCAGTCTAGTCTTGCTCACCGATGGCTGAGCTGGGAACAGAAGGACCTGTTCAGCAATGGAAAGTTTCTTTAGAAAGAGAAATGTTTTCAATCGCCCTTCGTTTGGGGGACTACTTAAACTAGTAGTTTTTATAATATGGTTTACCAGCCTTTATCTGTTAGGTGGATTATATCTATGCTGTTTTTATTCCCCTACAGTCAGAATTAACCTGGAGTTAAATTAACTATTTAGGTGTTTATGTCTTTGAAGCAGCTGCCCCTTCCCTGTGGATTTCAGGGCATGTGTGTATGGCTTGAAACTTCGGATTTTCATTTTAGTTCCTTGTGGTCCATTAGCCCTGCCATAAACAATCAAACCACGTACTTTCTTTCCCTCTGTGTATTTGGGTCTATCCTTTGCTTCACTTTGACTTAAATCCTTACCCAGGGCCTGTACCTGCTTGGTATGAGTTCACTGTAAAGTATGTTGAAGTCACTGGCAACTTTTTAAAAGAAAACACATCTCCTTTTGCAATTAGGAAATCAGTCATTGGAGGGATGATGGCTGGCGTTATTGGCCAATTTTTAGCCAACCCAACTGATCTAGTGAAGGTTCAGATGCAAATGGAAGGAAAAAGAAAACTTGAAGGGAAACCACTGAGGTATGTTTTCCAATTAACTGATACTTTTCTTTTTTCCTTGCCTCCACCATAGTTTGAACAGTTATCTGCTGAACTTATTTCTGTGATTCAGTATTCAGTGATAGTGTTAATGCTGCCAGCTACTCTGGATCTTTTCTTTGCACAATGAAATGTACATGTTTTTTATCAGGGAAATCACATGTATTCATGACTCTTCCCTGCTTTTTCCCAGCCAGGGATTTAGACTTGGCCCCTGCTGAGGGTTGATATACAGAAACTGATTATTAAAATTTGCCCTGTTATGAAGTCCAGCTTTACCATCGTGGTTTGGTGTTGTGGAATTCACTAAACATTTCCAGTCTCCATATTTTCATCTTGAACAGGGGCTCTCCAAATGTTTTGATGACACTTAGTGAAGATGCCTAGCTCCAGAAACCTTGATTTTTCCTCTTTCTCCCAGAAAGAAGGAAAGTAATGAGGTCAGACCTGTGAATCGTTCCCACTTTCATGTCTGATCCCATCCCTCCTCCATCCCAAGGCCCTCCTTAAGGACATTTAAAGATTTTTTTTTTATTATGCTTTTGTGATCAAAAATTCTGTTACATTATCCAAGAGGAGAAAAGACAGAACTCTGACTAAGCCAGGAGTTTACAGAATGCCAGGGCCCATTTTCTCACTTTGGAACAACTTGTAATTACTAAGCAGTGGGAGGAAGTGGTGCAGCTTTGGCTGGCTTGAAGGGAAAACTGTGTTGGAATCCTGAAATACCTACATTTTTAGTTGATTCTCCAGTTGTTTTCTTCTTTGTCTCTAATGTTGGAAATTTTTGGCTTGTCTATACTTAATGTTGTAGCAAAGAACATGAACCTTGGGACTAGCCTGAAAATTCAAAGCCAACCTTTACCACATTTTAGCTTTGTAATAGCAGTCAAGTTCTTTGACCTTTCTAGCCACAGTTTTCTCAAATGTAAATTGGAATGATAATGCATATACTACATCGAGTTTTCAGGATTAAAATGCATCTTTTGAATATCAATGCCTGGCACTTAATAAATGGTAAGTTTTAGCTGTAATCGTTGTTTGTGATTATAACTTCCCATGTAGTTTAATAACAATTATGCATGTCAAAACTGACCTGTTGTCTTTTGGGGGAGATTCAGAGCATGTAACTCCTGTGTGAAAACCACACAGCTAATGGGAAAGGTGGCATTTGACTCCAGATTTTTCTGACTGTAAAAGCCCAGAATTTTCTTTTATAAGAGAGAATTTTCTTTGATTGGTTCATGGTTCAGCATCAGTTTTCATCTGTCTCCAGAAGTATGAGCAAAATGAAAACAGAACAGTAAATTTTCGCAAAGCTAAAATTACTCTGAAAATTCTTAGATTATCCTTTTTACTTTTTGCGCTAAAAATTTTATCTTATGAGATTATATGAGAGCCAATGATTGTGTGTGTGTATGTTTGTTTGTTTTCATTGCTAGGGATTGAACCCAGGGCCCCATGTGTGCCAAGCAAGCACCCTACACTGAGCTAGCTGGCCCCCAGCCCTGAGAGTCAGTGATTTTTTTAATGCCATGTGGCAAAATTTTAAAACTTGCAGGTCCTCTTCATCACTAGTAAAATAAACTCAGAAATCTAACAGCTACTCTTTCCTCCTGTAGTTAGTATATCTACTGATGACCTTTCCAGAACAGTATTTTTAATCCTTGAAACAATCTGAGAAAAAGAAGGTAACAATTTATAGTCATTGTGTTAAAAAGTTTAAATCAAGTATTGGCCTTTATGATAAAGGATTAAGTTTATATGGAAATTAGACTTGTGCATATTTTTTTAATTTCTAACAGTTTTGAATAAATATTACTTTAGTCCAAATTGTATCCAATACATTCTGTATGCAAGAATACATCATTTTCACATTTCATTGTTGTATTCCTTAGATTTCGCGGTGTGCATCATGCGTTTGCAAAAATCTTAGCGGAAGGAGGAATACGTGGACTGTGGGCCGGCTGGGTACCCAATATACAGAGAGCAGCGCTGGTGAACATGGGAGGTAATGGAAACGTTGTTGGATTCCAAGAAGTCCTGGTTGCCTTGAGAATTATAAGCCCTCGTATTGGGAATGTGAATATCTGTCTCTTCCCTCAACAGAAAACAGGGATTTGAGATTGTCTTGTCCCCTGGCTCTTTCTCCAGTGACCAGAACAGCCCCAGGCACACACTGGGCACTGAGATACTTGGTGAACAATCAGACGTGCCTGCCCAGGGCCCGGGATTTAGCTCAGTGGTTCCACTGCCTGCCTTGAAAGCGCAAGGTCCAGAGTTTGATCCCCGGTACCAAAAAAAACAACAAAAAAACCATGCCTGCCCATTCTTGCCTTCATTAGTTTACTTCCCTATGTGTGGTGTGAATAATCTTTATAAAACTCCAGCATTGTGATGTCACCGAACCCTTTAATAACGCTTTGTTTTCAATAGAAAAAGTACAAGAAGCTTGATGTGGAATAGCAGTTGTGACAGTTGTTTACAATACAGGGCCTGTACTCAGCCTGTGGCTCACCAAGGAATTTCTCAGTTTGCATACTGAGAAGGCAGGGTTGAGCTGACTTTGGGCCTAGCTGGACTCTAGGATCCCAGCGATACAATGGAGTGCCTCTGCACCCTCCGAGTGTAGCTCTCCCTTCCTCAACCTTTCATTCTGGGGCACATTGCTGCCCTAAGCCCATATTCTCAATACAGAAGACATTCAGTCAAGGACGCATGAACATTTAAATCTTCTTTTTCCATTGCCAGATTTAACCACTTATGACACAGTGAAACACTACTTGGTTTTGAATACACCACTTGAGGACAATATCATGACTCATGGTTTGTCCAGGTAAGTGATTGTTTTAGTGTCACTCTGTTTTCCTCCCTATATCTTTTCTTCCATTTTGGGAGTAAATTCTAACTTTTGGTCTCTTGATCAGGAATATAGAGGAATTACTCTTAGAGAAAGAAGGTGCCACATTTATAAAGAGTGATTTTCTTAAAGGGGAAAAGACCAACAAAATTAGACGAAATTGCACCTGGGTGGTGCCATCTCGGGCAGGCTCTGGTGATCACCTTCAGCCCAGTTCAGCAGATGAACCTGATAACACCACGCCATGGAACCAGTACAGAAGCAGAAGTCCTGCCCGGAGCTTCCACCAGGGGGAGCAAGATGAGCTTAAATGCTGAAAGAGGGACTGGTCCCTGGAGGGATTAGAGGAAGAACAGAGTACACACTGGAAGGGCCCAGGAAGGAGGAGGAATTAGATTAGAGAAGGGTCTGAAGGGACGGGTTCTTCCCAGACAAGGACAGGAAGGAAAGTGTTGTGGGATGGGACACAGTCTTATTCTCTTTACAACACAATTTCACACTCCATTACAGCGGGTTCCTTTTCGATGTCTACTGTCTTTAACTTGTGGTCATTTCATTCAGCTTGTGAGGTTGATTCCAAATCCTAGCTCCCTCTGCGCTGCTGCAATAAGCCAGAAGTATACTAACAGCGTCCAGTCAGTGATCCTTAACCACACCAAGAGCGTCCCTGACTCGGGCTCTTGTGCCTGTTCTTCCCTCTGCTGGTACCACTCCTCCTCCAAGGTTCTTCTAGGTGAATGCCTTCTGCTGCCATGCTGGAGCCTTTCCCTGTCTGCCTGTCATCACCCAGTGGCTCAGTCACGCTTCCCTGTGTTATTTTCCATAGCATTTGTCCGTGTGTGAGTTCACCGATTTTTCCTAAGCCTCTTCCCATGCAGAGCATGAGCTTCAGGCAGCATCTTTCCTGTCTTGCCCACTGCCTACCAGAGGGCCGAGATCGACAGGTGCACAGGACATATTTGTTGGCTGCCATTCTTTTTTGTATTTTTTTCTGCCCCTCCACTGTATTCAGCATTAATTTTAAGCTAAAGGGACATAATGATGAAGACCAGTATAGTAACATATTTAGTATTCCGTTCTTTTTCAGTGTCAACTCCTTACTCTTAAAATGTAGAGGCTGTCGTGTGTTATCTTTCCATTTCATTTATTTGTACTACAGTTTATGTTCTGGACTGGTAGCTTCTATTTTGGGAACACCAGCTGATGTCATCAAAAGCCGAATAATGAACCAACCACGAGATAAACAAGGAAGGTAATTAGAAACTCCTCAGTATCCATGTGGTTGAATGTCGGTAATATTGTACTTTAAAGATATTTTAAAGATGTATTTATTCTTGGCAGAAAGGTATTTGTGTGTTTTTGTGTTTAATGAGGAAATTGTTTTTATGTAATGACCTGCTCTATGATGAAAAAGTACTATACATTTGGGAAATAAGCTGACAATCATGTTATTTAGACACAGGTATTCATTGTGATTTTATTGTTTTCAAAGAGTTTTTGAAAGCATACTGTGCTGAAAATTCACAGAGCACTTTCTTCAGAAACTTAGGACTCTCAGGTAACATTGAGAATTTGGTTTGGTATAAAATTGTATGCTTTCTCTGGAGAGTCAGTTGGCATGAATAAGCACAAGACTAGGGCTGGGGTGAGAAGGAAGAATCAGCTGTGAGAGTTATCTTTAAGCTCAAGTGCAGCTACCTACATCTGTATCTATACCAATGGAACCACACCTAGTATAAGACATTTCCTTAAACTGTTTTATTTGATCTGTACCTGTGCTTACATGGAAACAACTTAACAAAGCTCTCTGGTTTCCTCTGTAGGGGGCTCTTGTACAAATCCTCCACCGACTGCTTGGTCCAGGCTGTTCAGGGTGAAGGGTTCATGAGTCTGTACAAAGGCTTTTTACCATCTTGGCTGCGAATGGTAAAGTTAGGATTCATTTCTTCCTTCTTCTTTTCTGTATAATGAAATTAGTGTCAACCCATAAATATATTCCCTTTTCTCTTCTGGTTTGTGGCACAGCTCTGCCCCCAAATCAAGACCTAACTTTTCTTTGTAAGTTTTTCTCAGCTTCCCTTCACCTCTCCTCAGAGTAGTATTGCCTTCTGTGGCAGATTAAGGTGAAATAAATCATTTACAGTGGTATCTCACTTCACAAACTCAGTTCTCCCCATGATTCTGGTCACAAACTGAACTGGATGAGAAACGAATCAAATTTCCCCATCAGATCAACATTGAACATAACCATTGAATTTAACTTGATTCTCTTCCAATTTGGTTTGTGATCAGAATCACGGGAAGAATCAAGTTCATGAACTGAGGTACCACTGTACCTCCATTAGTAAATAGGGTATGAGTAGCCAGTGGGTAGATCTCTGGTGATATAAAACCTTCAGAAGTCTACATATCTAAAAGATAAGTGGTTGACACAGGTGCACAGATTCCTAGAAAAATTTACTATTTCAAATGAATTTTGTTACTTTGATGGTAAGTTTTACCTTACCTGTTAATACTTATTATCACTCCACTTTTCTTTTGGTGCCAGGGATCGAACTTGGGTCCTTGCGCTTCCGAGGCAGGCAGCGGAACCACTGAGCTAAATCCCGGGCCCTATCACTCCACTTTTTAAGAAAGCATTTTATCATTCTTATGTGCTTTAGATGTTATCTTTTACTATTGTGAACTAAGATGCAGAATTAGATGTACTTAAGTAATATAGCAAATATAATAAAGGTAAGATAGTCATACCTTTTGTAAGAAAATATTTGAAAGAATAGATGAGTTATGGCTTAGAAATTCAAACAATCGAAAACTAATGTGATATTATAATAATATGTGGTATTTTATATATATATATTGAATAGAGCACTTCCTCCGTGTGAGGACTTTGCCGGGGATAAGAGGCTGTAAGTGGTGCGTGTTATGAGAAGAGGGCTAGGTGCTGTCCATGCTGTCTACACTGGGTGATTAAGGAGCCCTGCCCGGAGTGACCCGAACTGCGATTTGAAGGAAGCGTAAGACTCAGCCAGGTCAGAGGGACACAGAGAACTTGAGAAAGACATGAGCTGCAGGATACCCAGCGGGCCAGGGCACCCAGGCTGCAGGAGAGCAGCAGGGGAAAGGGGCAGCTAGAGAGGGGCAGAGGCTGGAAGGAGGGAGCCTGGGGGCTATAGCCATGGGTGTGGCCAGAGGAATCTGCATTCTCAGAAAGATTTCTTGGACTTCCCTGGGTTTGGAAAAGCCTAGGGACAGTGATAAATGAAAGATAAATTGGGAACAGAAGAAAATGGTTGGAAAGGGATTTAGGGAGGAGATGTGATTGAGGACAAGGGCATAGATGGACAGGATAAGGAAATGTCAGGCCCTGAGTAGTTTGCCCAAATGAGGGTCTTTGGCAGGGAAGAAGGTTTGTAGTTTAGCTGCAGGGCATTTGGATACCCACAGGATGTCCAGATCCTGGGCGACCAGCTTAACTAATATACAGGTCTAGGTCATAGTGGGGAAATAGGGATGGAGATTCAGATTTGACACTGCCCACAGACAGTGGTCATTGAAGCTTTAAGAAGAAGCGACCCCTGAGGTTGGATAGGTGTTTATTAACACAAAAACAAGTAGCCAGATCAGCGGGTTCATGTGGCAGAGTTGGGAACTGACTTCAGGTCTGCCTAGCTTCAACCCTTCCCTTTGTGCTGCAGTAGGAGATGCTGAGATGCTCAAGATCTGCAGCTGGCTTACAGAAATCCTGAACAAAGAGCAGAGGTGCAGTGAGGAGGGGTGTTACCAAAGAAAGGCCAGTGACGGGCCCAAGTCACCAGGGCCACAGCCTTTCGGTGTACCACAGTGGCGACTTGGTGACTCAGAGCTCAGAACCCTGGCTCATAAGCTTCTCCAAGTACATGGGCCTTGAAAATGTGGATTCGCCAGCTGAATTCATGGAAACCAATGGCTAGGCCAGAACCTCCTGCCTGCTCACACTGCACACATGGCCACGTGCTGGTGACCCTGGGACAGCACCCTCTGTCCCAGAGTCAAGCGATATTAGGCTGTGTGCCAACACCAAGTTGCCACAGAGAAAGCTTATTTGTAAACATACATATAAGAATATCAGCCCAAGAGAGCTCTTATGGGCCCAGCTCCACAAGAACAAGCATGGGAAAGGACTTTGCTCTTTCCCAGCAGTTAGAGCAAAAGCCAGACCAGAGGAAGCAACCTGGGTTCCGCTGCACTTGCATCACAGGTAGCGTCTGAGCTGTACCAGGGAAGAAACCACTGAATAAATGCGGTGCACACCCCCACTGCCATGAGGGGCTAGTAGACCCCAGTCATTGCCTACCCACATTCTTCAGCCACATGATCCCCCCTCAACCGTAACAGAACCCATCCAGACTCCCTCACCATCCCTACTACCAGAGATAGCCAGACCTTTGCTGCTCAGCTGCTGCTGAGGGCTTATTTCTCTGCTCCTGTGGCTTTGTTGCTACAGTGTTGCCATTGGCCAAAGAACTCTGAGTACCACAGCAATTAGGGGTGATTGCATCTGACTACAGTGATGTTGGCTCACTTCATTTTTATTTTCATAAAAATATAGTATCTTCACAACTTTATATTCCTTAGTTTACATATGTCTGACAAAGATATGTTCTTCTAAATATGCTATTTCATAAATTCTCAGCTTATCAGCATAACATAAAATGCTCATAACATTTTGCATTACAAACTCTCTACCCAAATATATTCTACACTCTAATTGCTTCAGCTTATTTCTCAAGCAGGATGCAGTTTTTCTCCATTACATGTTGATCAGACATTAAATCCAATTAGATCCCTTTCTTCATTCTGATGTTTACCCCTTAGCATTTATATCTTCTTCCAACCCATGTTCTTTTATAATTCTAGAGATAGCTGTGACTTTGTTCAACTCAAAGTCAAGCCTTGAAGATGTGAGACACCAGGTGTTGGTGTAATGATCTAACTGTCATTAGAGATGTGTGATGTGTCAGGTGGTCACACTGCATGTAGAAGAGCCATGGGGAGGAGCTTAGAAGTCAGGTGTTCCGAGTCCTACCTCTTTAAGCAGGATGGTCCAGTGCAAACCACTCTGGGATGGAGAACAGGAACCACTGGTTCAGCTCTATCCCATGTCAGCAGATATTTGACAGCTAAGCCTCAGTGCCCATCTGTAAAGTAGGGCTATTCTTACTTTTCCTTTCTTTTGTAGACTGTCCTTTAGAGAAATCCATGATAAATGAGACATTAAGACACTTTTTAAATTATAAAGTACAAAGGTAAAAGAAAAAATATTTGTTTTGGGCTTCAGTGGATTCAAAATGACTTTGTCACTCAATGATATAAATGCATATATGTAGATGATTGATCATTGCTTTGAAATATGCACTAACTTCTTTGGTTAATCTTTCAGACCCCTTGGTCATTGGTGTTCTGGCTTACTTATGAAAAAATCAGAGAGCTGAGTGGAGTCAGTCCATTTTAAGCCCTTACAGACACAGTGCTCAGTATTATTGAATGTGGGCATCTGCAACACACACCCCCTATTATTTCTACCTCTTTAGGAAGACACTACTCCACTGAGACTATGATTTATAGGGGGCAACACTTTTTTTTCCTCTGGAAACCCAAGTTCTCTTTGACTCTTTTTGTCTAAAAGTGATCTGGTCCGATCTCACAAGGCCACCCAGTGAGACCCAGCACAGTATTTGTAAAGAAGAAGGGAACCCTGGCCACTTTCACCTTGACGAGGCGGCCTGGCCTCTGACACCGCTGTGTACGAAGAGCCTTCAGGGAGGAAGAGGAGGCAGTGGGTGCCTGCCTCTCAGATCTGAGCAGACATCGGGATTGTGGAGGAATAGCTATCTGTCTATATGGATATATACCAGTGCTTCAGAAATACACCCAGCCTGCTATGCCAGTATCTATAGTTGAAGTTCGAAAACTCACTCTTCTGTTGTTAAAGTGTACGTGTACGTGGTGTAAGCTAAAGGGAGGCAAATGAGAGTTCATGAATAAACATTTTGAGTTTCCCTAGTGTTGAAGAAAGTCAATGTGCCTTTTCCTTTTGACCAGGATGAATGAAGTCAAGTTGAGATGATGTTTGCATTTCAAGGACAGACAAGTTTGCTGTTCTTGCCGCCTTTAGTGTTGTATTAATTGGTCCACACGCTTGCTAACAGTAACTCCCTGACAGCCACAGACTCGGGGGCCTTGGCGGAAGTTTCCCTTACAACTTGGATTTGATACCAGCTCGAAGGATTCCTGATCCATAAGAATTGCAGCTCATGTGATCAAAGCTCAGCTGCACGGTTCCTCTTACAAAGGACCTTTCCTTGCCATCAGCCTTCCAGTGGTATTTTAAAACAAGAAGGAAGCCAGCTAGCTCTGTGGGTCCTTTCTCAATTTCAGTCTGATAAAGCATGTTGCCTAAAATGTGATAAACAGTCTGGTACACAGTCACATCTCCAACCTTCAAATTAAATCCCTTTTCTTATTTTAGAAAGGTAAGAGATTCTTCCAGATTCTCTTGCTCCCCCCAACCTTAACAGTGGGCATCCTGGATGGATGGCATCAGGTATGGGTAGAGCCTGAAACTGTTGAAACAGGAAAACTCAGAAGAGCAGGCCCAAGAAAGACGGTGGTGATAACAAAATAGAATTCACAGTGGACAGGGTTGATGCTGGACAGAAGGTATCCACAAGTGCTCTGTGACAGCACCAATGTATAATCACTGCCATTTTCCAAGGGGGAGTATACTTTAATATGTATTCTAATGTGCTATGCTAATATTCAGTAGCTTATCGTTTTTCTAGTTGCAGAATGTGGAGTTTAATCTGTTCAAGGCTTTGAATTGTCTACTTTCCCATTGTGTTTGTCAATCTGTAACTAAACTGTCAAATATATTTAATATGTATATTGTGTGCTTAAATTCCCAAGTGTTCTGCATTGAACTGCCTTGTCCCCAAAAGCACTTTGCTTTTTTTATGTTTTGTAATTTTTAAAATTATGTAAAAACTCAATCAAAATAATTACATGCAAACTGAACTGTGAAAAACTGATTTAGCTCTTTTCTTTGGGGTAGGGGGTTGTGGGATTGAAACATTGCTTAAATACTGACACTGTTTCTTGGTATCTGAATCAATGTGAGTAACTGAGATTTTTACCCTAAATAAATGATTCCCTGAGAACATTGGTTTAACCTCAACTTATATGGTAGGAGACTGAGGCCTGAGAAGTACAGCCAACTGGCCACACTCAGAAGTGAATTAATAGCAGAACCAGGACAAAAATGCAGACCTCCTACATATTATGATTATAGCAAGGGACAGTTACTGTGCACCAGTTAGCTACCAAGTGAATGTTTTACACCGTCTTCACAACAAGCCAGGCCAGTGCTCTTGATCTTCCAAAACTCTTTCCAAGTTTTTTATAGCTTCATTTTTTTTGTCTTGTGCATTTTAAATGAATCTGGATTGCCTCCAGTGAGCATTTCTGAATGGAGTCTGTAGTCCTTCAGTTTGACCCTCATGACACTCCAGAATCTGACCAAAGACTGCATATTTAACATATATTCCATTACATTGCTCAGTGATCTGGGAAATTTGCTTTATTTTTGTGAAATTGGAACCTTCTTGTTGCTTTGCGTACAGTCCATAGTAACTACAAGGAGTACAGCTCTCTGAGCTTATGTCCATGCTCATGGATGGAACAGCTCCGCCCTCACTTTCTTCCTTCAGTTATGTGCTTTCTCTCCAGATCAATATTAAGAATTCTTGCTATTCACACTCCTTTTGTTTGGCTTTCACAGTTTTTCTCTTAAATGCTTTTTTCTTACTGAAAAGTATATGCATTTGCTATAGTTCTCTGTTCTTTAATTAGCATATATATCTAATTAAAGAGAGAGCATTTCTTAAGTTTTCTCTTAGGAGTAATGTGTGTTTTCTAGGGGACCCTGCGTCCTGTTTGATTGCAACCCACTAGTAAACAGGACATATTTTGTGTTTTCATTTGAATTTCTGCTCACATTTGTAGCAGTTTTTGCTGTTAAGTCCTCAGGAAACATTGACCACAGCTACAGTATATATAACATAAATCATCTACTTTTGTCTTCATTAAGAATTTTATGACTCATGAGTCTGAAATTCCTCTTTCACTTTGTTAACAAAAAGAAACAAATCCAGGGACTTTTAAATGGAAAATAATTTGCTGTTCTGTCATCTTCAAATCTCCAAGCCCATTTATTTACAGTTGATATATGTGTTTTTCTCTATTGATGAAAATAGAGAAAACATTACATCAGCATCTCCCTTGGGAAAATGCTTAATTTTAATACCTAGTTTAAAAAATTAGGGGAGTTAATAAATTTTCCCCCAGTTAAAGCAGGACTCTAAAAACAATTGCCAAATATAGATATACGTTATTGAATGCCAGGAAATGAAGGAAAACTGAATCTGAACCATAAGGACCTATATTTTGTGTTGGGCTTTCCTAACAGGTAAAGCTAGGACCCAGTCCCTTCACTTCTGTGAATTTCCATTTCTTTGTAAGATGAAATGATCACTGACATCTCACTTTGTCTAGACTTAAAGGGAGGCATTATATCGATGTCATGTTTTAAAAATAGTATTTACATTTTTATTGGGATTTATTTTCTCATATTTGAAGATTGGGAAAAAATTGTTCAGACTATAACTCAAACTTAGGTAACTGGACTGCCTCATATTGAAATCTGTCTTGAAAGTTGCCTCTGGGCTTCTTCCTTCAGACACCTCCAGCCAGGTCATCCTAGCCTGTTCTCCCTCCAGTCGCTCCTTCCCCCACATAATTAAAATCTTTCATGACATATCCAGGCACTCCATCCAAGCCCCTGTTGTCCAGCCTGTGCCTTTCCCCAGACAGCCTCTGCAGAAGTGATGCTGTGCCCCTCACCTTGAGACCATGCACTGGGGGCTCCCATGCTGTGTGCCTTCCCATCCACTGCTCCTCTCCCACACTGCCCATCGTCTATATCTTGACTGTCAAGTCCAACCCCACTTCAGTATCTAAGACAATCCCCTGTGCTGCTACCGAAGCCTTGAACAGCTTCAGCCACCTCAAGGTGGCTTCCTGCTGCTAGACATACGCTGCTGCTTCCCCCATAGAGGACCAGCTGTTTGACCACAAGGATCTGGAATACTTGTCAGAGAGGGGCCATGGAGATGGTCTTGGTAGAATTAGGAGGGGTTTTTTGGGGGGGTTACATATAGATGAGTAAGTCATATTTTGTTTTTCTCCTGCCTCAGGTTGGATAGGAGAACCCAGCACTTCTAATTTTGTCAACTGATTTAACATAAGAAATCCTTAACTGTGTTTTTAAAAGATCGTGTGTTTAAATATGTCATTATAATTTTAGGAAACATCACCTTCATCAATTTAATATATATTTTACAAGGCCTAGAATTTGGTAGTCTTACTGTAACACTGGATTAGTAGTTGATTAATGGTTAATAAGTAAATGATGTGCTTACATTCTCCCTTGTAGAGGATGCATGGAAATGATACTGCCATTTGGCCTTAATAGGTACCATACGAATGCACATGCGCCTGCGCAGGTGTTGTATGATTTCTGAATTTTGAGGAATACATGGTTATTTTTCTCTTCCCATACTTTACCCCCAGCAGGCTACTGTGATTGTCAACAGCAGCGGGAGCCAGTTGGAAGGTTTGATAAGTGCAGATGAAGATGCTTACAGAAGTCTGTTTGCTGAAAATATCAGGTAACAAACAGGAATGTAAGTGAGTAAATACATTGTGTTATTCTGATTTTTAAAAATAAATGTTTAAAAATGCCTAATCAGTTGTTATCGAGGGTTTTGTTTTTCTCTAGTGTGGTTTGGAGTTCGTATGCTAATAAGACATGATTAATTTTTTAAAATCTGAATCTTTACTGTTTCACAAGTTAGCAAAAATTGAGAAGACGGAATTGAACATTCAAGAATGAGCTCATCAGGGAAAAATCAAAAGTGTTTAAAGAAATCACATTCATTCACTCATCCAGCCAACTTGTATTGTGTCCACCACAGGCTAGATTCAGTAACACAAGGAAAGGTCCTTGGAAAGGAGCCTGTGGATTGGATATGGGTGATCACCCAACACACCCTGTCACCAAAGGGTGACACAGGATGATCGGGAAGCACGTGGCGGCCTCTGATCTGGACCGACGGAAGACACTGGGATTTGCACTGTCAGGCCTGGGTCTTGTGGAACACTGTGTAAAACAAGCTCCCAGGGATGTGCGCAGTTTTGCACATGCACACCGCTGGAAAGTAGGCGCATCCGGGGAGCCTCGCACAGTTCGTTGCATTGCTTTGAGGTTCCAAAGGGTATCCTGGGGAGAGGGAGGTGTGGGGAGAAGTCCAGGCACCTGAGGCCGCAGACACTGCGGGCCTGAAGACCTCCTCTGGCCAGGCCACGTGGTGCTGCCTCAGAACACAACAGGAACAACCTTCCAAAGTGTGTTGCAGGGCCGAAAGCCTGCGAGGAGGGAATATTCGCCAAGTCCCCTCCCTCCATAGAGTACCCTCGGGTTGAAGCAGGGAGACCACAGAGGGTTAGCCGCCTGCTGGAGCCACCCGAGCCGCGTTCCCTGCGCGCATGCGCCCTGCCACCCGGCCGTTCGCTGCCTAACGTCCAGCACGCGCCCTTGTAGACACAAGCAGTCAAGGTCTCCGACAGACACAGCAGCAGTGATTTTGAACCCGGTCCTCATCGCGGAGCCCAGGCAGGTTGTGCCCCTCGCGGGCTCCTACGCGTCCCTCCAGGCTCCGTCTCTTCTAGATCAGCTGGTCCCACCGGTCCCCACAGCCCGGCCCGTTGAGGCCCCTGCCCCTGCCCACCGCGCTGGTCATCATGAGCTGGGTGCCGCCGCCCGGGGCCTGGCTGGCACTGCGGGTGTGCTCGGTGGACTCGCGCCCGGACGCGGTGCCGGTGGTGCTGCGGGCGCTGCCCAGCGTCCCCGAAGCGGGAGGCGAGGCGCTGTGCTGCGTGCTGGCCGGCCTGGTGCCTGCGGGCTGCGGCTCAGGGGAGCTGCCGCGCTGGAGGCCAGACGCCGTGCGCTTCCTGAGCGCTCTGCGGGGCCGCGACCTGCGCGGGCAGGTGGCAGAGGTGCTGCCCTCGCCGCGGCTCCTGGTGCTGCTGAACGTGCCCACCATGGCGCGCCGCATGCAGGACCTAGGCCTGGCGAGCCGAGTACCCGAAGGCCTCTTCCGCTCTCTGCTGGAGAGCTATCTGCTGAGCCACGCGCCCGAGCCGCTGGGCGCCGATTACTTCTACCCGCAGCTGCAGAGCGGCGTCACGGAGCCCGTGGTAGTCACTCACGTGTGCTATCCGCTGCGCGTGCACTGCCAGCTCCGGGAGCTGGCTCAGGAGATTCGCCTGCTGTCGGACAGCATGGCGCAGGCCTACAGTGGCGCCCCAGGGACGGCTGACCACGCCTGGCCGGGAGCCCTTGACGATAGCCCAGACGACAGCTCGGACGAGAGTCCCGACAAGCCGGGTGCGCCGTGCGCGGCCTGCGGGCCCGATGGGCGATGGCACCGCGCGCTGCTGCTGGCCACACCGCAGACGCGGCGCGGCGCGCAGGTACTGCTTGTGGATCTGGGGCGTCAGGAGCTAGCAAGCCGCGCCCGCCTGCGCCCCCTGCTGCCTGAGTACTTCCGCATGCCCGTGGTCACCTACCCGTGCGCCCTCCTCGGGCTCTGGGACGGTGGCCGCGGCTGGTCCCGCGCGCAGGTCCGCAAACTACGTGCGCTGCTGCTGGGCCGCGCGCTGAATGCCAAGATTGAGTTCTACTGCGCCTTCGAGCACGTGTACTATGTTACCCTGTACGGCCACGACGGCATCAACCTCAACCGCTTGTTCGGGACGCAGACGTGCTGCTTGGCGGAAAAGTTCCTCCAGAGCTCAGGAGGGGAAGAGGAGGAAGAGGAGGGAGAAGAGGTGGATGGAGAGGAGGAGGAGGAGGACCCAGGAGGGCAGGCTGGGGACACAGATGCCGCCCTCACGGGCTTAAGGTCCATCAGGCTGAAGCCCAGCGCCTTCTACGACGCCCAGGTGGAGTTTGTCGCCAGCCCCTCCGAGTTCTGGATCCGCCTGAAGAAACACCACGGCCCCTTCAGCAGGCTGGCGAGGAGGATGTGCAGTTTCTACTCCTTGGCCAGCAAGCGAGAGGGCGTCATCCTGAAACCGGAACGGGAAGATCTCTGCTGCGTCAAATGGAAAGATAATGGCTATTACCGGGCCATCGTCACCAAACTGGGTGACAGGAGTGTGGAGGTCTTCCTGGCCGACCGCGGCAACACAGAGCAAGTGGACTGGGGTGATCTAAGGATGCTGCTCCCCCAGTTCAGGCGGCTGCCTGCGCTGGCCCTGAGGTGCACCCTTGCCGATGTGTGGCCTTTGGGGACAGCCTGGAGCCAGGAGGCAGTCTCCTTCTTCAAAAGGACTGTACTCCACAAAGAGTTGGTCATCCACACCCTCGATAAGCGGGCGCAGCAGTATGTCATAGAGATACTGGATGAGTCAAGAACCGGGGAGGAGAACATTGGGAAGGTGATTGCTCAAGCCGGCTATGCCAAGTATCAGGAGTTTGAACCCACAGAAGGCATGGCAGCCCATGCCCACTCACTGGGGCACAGTTCAAACCATTTCATTGCTGAGAATGACAAAGTATCTTCTGCTATGAAAGTAGAAGAACAGATATCGGAGAGAGATAAAGCTCAATCTGTTTCAGAAGCTTTGGTTCACACAGCTATTGTTACAAATATTTCAACTGGAGGAGTTGGGCAGGAAAAAGAGAATGTAGCATCTGTTTTTTCTTCTCTTACACCACTGGATTTCTTGACAATGAAGCCGGGCTCCTCTTCTAAAGAGCTAGAGGTTGGAAGCACAGTAAAGGTCAAAGTGTTTCATGTTGAAAACCCTGGTGATTTCTGGTGTCAGCTGGCCAGGAACCCACAAGAATTTAGAGCCCTAATGTGTGACATTGAGGACTACTGCAAAACCACAGCAGCCCCTTATCAGGGGGCCTCCCCTGCTTGTTTGGCAAAGCGGGCAGCCAGTGGAAAGTGGTCCAGAGCCCTGGTGACAGGCGCACTGTCCTCGGAGCGAGTCAGAGTACACTTTGTAGATTATGGAGACACAGGTGTGGTCTCCGTGAAGGACATTTATTCAGCTAGTGATGAGTTTCTCAAGGTTACAGCTCTGGCTTTCAGGTGCAGTCTTTATAACTTAATTCAACCAACTGGTGAAAATCCTTTTGTTTGGGACGAAAAGGCAACACAAGTGTTTACTGAGTTTGTACATAATGCAGTGCAAAACTGTCTAGAATTAAATTGCATGATATGTGCCGTGGTCTCGGTACACAATGAACAGTTTAACGTTGTGGATTTACTGACACCTTTTCAGAGCGCATGCCATGTGTTGGTGGAAAAGAGACTGGCAAGACCAGTAAAACCTCAGAAACCTCTGGAGTCTTCTGTTCAGCTGCATTCCTACTACTACTCTGCACATGACATAAAAATTGGAAGTGAAGAATCGGTGTATATAACGCATGTTGATGACCCTTGCACATTTTATTGCCAGCTGGCAAAAAATGTGGATATTTTTAAACACTTGTCATGTCATATATCACAATTAATTAAAGTTTTACCCAGTGTACAAACATCGCCCTTGACTCCTGGAAGCTTGTGCCTTGCCAAATATACGGACGGCAACTGGTACCGTGGACTAGTCATTGAACAAGAGCCTACTAAAGTCTTCTTTGTTGATTTTGGGAATGTTTATGTGACAAGTGATAATCTGCTTCCGATACCTCATGATGCATATGAGGTTTTACTTTTGCCTATGCAGGCTGTGAAATGTTCATTATCTGATATTCCTGATCAAATGCCGGAAGAAGCTACAACATGGTTTCAGGAGACTGTTTTAGATAAGTCAATGAAGGCCTTGGTCGTAGCAAAAGATCCAAATGGAAGACTGATTATAGAGCTATATGATGACTGTAGTCAAATCAATGCTAATATTAATGAGAAGTTAGGGTTACTTGATTACAAAACTACAAGAGGCAAAGAGAAAGAAAGTGAAACATTCCTGTCCACAACTGAAACTCTCAAAGAAAATAATGAAAATGTGCAGTTTTCACCTATGGAGCATTTAAGTAAATCAGCAGAGAACCAATCACACACTTTAGAGATTTTGGGAGAATCATTCAAGCCTAAGATCGGCTCACCAGGGAATAAGCTCAAACATTTACAAAATTCAACAGTGACTAACTCTGTCGCTCACCATCAGGGCTCTATGGAAAACAAAAATAATCAAGTGTTTTTACCTACAAGAGAAAAGAAAGAAGACATTTTTGATGACCCACCTTTGAAAGCCACAAAACTGGAAGCCACCCTTGCAGCAAAAATAGGAGATTCACATAATGAAGATCTGCCTCTAAAATTCTATGCTTTCCCACAGAAGACTTTAAGGCCTGGCTTTAAAACAACTGTGTATGTTTCACATATTAATGACCTTTCTGACTTTTATGTTCAGCTAACAGAAGATGAAGCTGAAATTAACCATCTTTCAGAGAAATTAAATGATGTGAAAACAAGACCCCAGCACTATGCAGGTCCTTTGCAAAAGGGAGACGTAATATGTGCCATTTTCTCAGAAGATAGTTTATGGTATCGTGCTGTGGTCAAGGAGCAACAACCCGGCAGTCTTCTCTCTGTGCAGTTTATTGATTATGGTAACGTTGATGTGATCCACACTGACAACATCGGTAGGCTTGACCTCGTGAATGCACGGGTACCACAACTGTGCATTCATTGCTCTCTAAGGGGACTTTGGGTTCCAGACATTGTCAAATGCAAGGAAGTGATGCATTACTTCTCCCAAAGGACAGACGAGGCTCAGATAAGATGTGAATTTGTTAAATTTCAAGAGAAATGGGAAGTTATTCTTGCTGATGAACACGGGATCATAGCAGAAGATATGATTAGCAGATACACTTTCAGAAGAGAACCTCAAATATGTCCTTCTACCCAAATAATTAAAGGTGACTATGCCAAGTCTGCTAACAAATCAGATATTGACACTACAGTGTTGCTTAATTGGCACAAACCCCAAATGAAGACGGTAAGAGCTTATGCCATGGTAGTAGATGGGCCTGAGTATTTCTGGTGTCAGTTTGCTGATACAGAGAAACTTGAGTATTTAGAAGTTGGAGTACAAACTGCTACAAAGCAGACAATACATTGGAGAGATAGTGTCCGATGTCCTCACGTTGGAGAGCCTTGTCTGGTAAAATATAGAGAAGATGGACATTATTATAGAGCACTCATCACTAATATTCATGAAGATCATCTTTTATCTGTCAGGCTAATAGACTTTGGGAATGTTGAAGACTGTGTGGACCCAAAAACAGTCTTGAATATTCCACCTGAGCTCTTATCCATTCCCATGCAAGCCTTTCCGTGTTGCCTCTCAGGATTTAATATTTCAGAAGGTTCCTGTCCTCAACAGGGAAATGATTACTTTTATGAAATAGTAACAGAAGATGTGTTGGAAATAACAATATTAGAAATCAAAAGGGATGTTTGTGATGTCCCTTTAGCAATTGTTGACTTGAGAAGCAAAGGTGAAAGTATTAATGAGAAAATGAAGAAATACTCGAAGATTAGCACTGCTAAGATGTTTCTGCCTTATGAGAAAGATGGGTCAGAGATCAAGGGAGGCTTTGGGCACCCTCAACCTGATGTTGGATTTAAGAAACCAAGTTATAAAGTTGTCCAAGATAAAGCCTTGTGTGTGGAAAGACAAGCAGAAGAGCACTCTGAAAGGATTCCAAAATATTTAAACATTGTGGAAACCAAACCAAGTAGATTCTGTGACCCTGGAACTGATAACATTTTTGAGGCGTTTGAAAACCCTTATGAAGGTGGAACTGGTTCTGTCCTAGAAAGTACCAAAGAGTGCTATTTGGGTGACCAGGCAGTGTTTGATGATGCATTCCTGATTACAGAATTTAGCACATTATTGCCACATGCTGGTGAAATGGCAGAGAGCTTAGAACTGAATTCCTTTGAGGTTCCACTTTCCCCTGATGAAGACTTGAAAGAATTCTTAGAAGTAGAATCCCTTCAGTTACAACATTCTCCAGTCAGGGAAGAACACAAGGAGGATCTAAGCCTGGAGCCACCAATGACGCCTCTCTCTGGAGGCCGTGACACCAAAGCCACCCTGGGGCCATTTCCACTCCGGCTTCCCCACAGCTGTGAGTCTGAGACACATCCAGTGGTGGAACTTCCTGCAGCCCCACTGTCTCCTGAGGATATCGTGGGTCCCTCACCTGTGCTGGTTGATGAGAAAGCCCAAAAGTCTGAGTGTACTGAGGGCGCAAGAGAGGCAGGTTGTGGGGACCCTGTTGATAACCACCTCAGGGTGCCACTGCATCTCCATGGGGAGACCTGTGACCCTGCAGTACATACAGAAATGAGTCTGTTTGAAGAAAAACTCCAAGAATATAAAAACAGGGATGCCATTTCATCCTTGATACCTTCGCTCCCTGAAGAAGAGCTCAGAGATGGAAGGAAACAAAATCATGCTTCACCAGACAATGGCTTAGGTATGTGAGTTTGCTTTCTTACACTTACAAGTTTAACTTAGTGTCTTTCAGAAGATCTTCTTTATTTTAAAGAAAAGGGAGTAATTATTATACACATTTCTTAAATGAGTTTTTTTGAAAGAAAGATTAATTGCAGAAAGGTAAATCATTATATTTAGATTTTTATTAAGGGCATTTAATTAATTAATTAGTTAGTTATTAATTATGGGGGCTCACTAAGTTGCCCAAGCTGCCTTCCAACTTTTAATCCTCCTGCCTCAGCCACCTGTGTAGCTCAGATTACAGGAGGGCACCACCATGCCCGGCTTTTATGAAGGGCATTTTAAACATGGGAACAACTAGCTGTGAAATTAATGTAAATTAAGATAATACTAGATGAAGTACTGAAATATTAACTGTGTCCAAAAATTAAATGCTTTAAATCAACGTCTTCAAAAGGCAAGCACATTTCAAGTGTAAGGACATCAGCCTTAAAAGCAAGGCAGTGTACGGGTTGGTGAATTATTCTTTTGGCCAACCACTCCTGTGCCATACATTTCCAATAGGGATCCTTTTAGTTTTTCAGACTTAGCTTATCATACTTTTATTTTGCAGTTCATTTCTAAGTCCTTTAATAAAAAAAAAATAGATTCAGGGAGGCCATATTAACGAGCACAAGTTAACAGAAGTAAAGCTTGAAGAACATTTATCATATTAACTTTCTGATAAATTATTTGTTATTTTCTTTGCTACTTACAAAGATTTTAAAACTAAGTAGCTAACTTTTAGCTTTTTAAATGTTATTCTTTTTGAATATCAACTTTTATATTATTAAATTTGAATAATTATACAAAACAGAAAAGAAATAATGGAATGAGAATGAAAATCATACTCTTACCTTGGAGAAATGACCACTGTTAGCACCCAGCACATGATCTTCTTGTAGTCTTTTACCTTCTTTGTGTACATCTCTCTTCACACAGTTTATTTTATTTTATTTTATTATGGTACCAGGAATCGAACTCAGGACCTTGCACTTGTCAGGCAGGCATGGCGCCACTGAGCTAAATCCCTGGTCCTGTACACAGTTTAAAAGCTAAATGCAGATCATACAACCCTACAGTGTGTCCTGTGTTTTGGTCCCTTAAAATGACTTTAGAATATTTTAACTGCATATATACCATCCTGCGGGGGCATTGTCATTTCTGTAACTATCACCTTGCAGTAGCTATCTATTCCTCATTGTCACAGTTTAATCATAGCAAGTATTGGCTTTGTGACACCACTATTCACTCACAACATGATGCCTGCCTGCTGTAGGAATGGCTGTTGGCTGTCGTGACTATGGACGGCATCATTGGTAACAAAAGTATCAGATTTTAGCAGTGACTTTCAATGTGTATGCTGCATCTATGTGGTTAAAGAAAAGCAAAAGATTATAAGGGAAGGGAACACTGGAAAGATTTAAAATAAAACTGAGGAAAAGAAAGAATATATTACTACCAATATAGTAATAACATGATATTGATTACATAGGAATAGTAAGTACAGATTAGGAAAATACTCTGCTTGTGTATCACACAAAGTGTGCATTGAGTCTTCCTCTATTCCATCTAGCTTCTCAACAGCAGAATACTTACACTCTGGAAGGATTTACTGTTGGATCCAAATGTGTCGTGTGGTCAAGTCTAAGAAACACATGGTCTAAATGTGAGATTTTGGAAATAGCTGAACAAGGCACAAAGGTTAGTGAAATTTAAATGCTTTACCTCTAAATGTACTTGCAGACTTACAGAATTTTAGTTAACTTTTATCAGGCTACAGAATGCAATTAGTGGGTGCTTACCTGCTTGTTCCCCCTGGTAATTTGATGCAGTACAAACCTCACCTTAAACATTCATAGAGGAGAATCCTAGCTAGAAATGACCCTAGGTTCTTACCACCTCCAATCACGTAATCACCCTGTTCCACCCCTGGCACTTCTTACCTCTTATTTGCAGCAGTTTATATCTAACGCCTCTACTCCAGTGGAGCCTCTCCTTTCACAGCTGCGTTACTCTAGTAACCTTCTACTTGACTTACTTATTCTAGTTTGCCTTCAATGGATTGTCCACACCACTAGTATGAAGATGGTCAAATGCAAATCTGAATCTGACTACATCATTTCTGGCTAAAACTTTTTAGGGCCTTTCAGTTCACTGTGTTTTTCCTGTTGTCTGCAAACCACCTGTATCTGAACCACTTGGTATGTGTTTTAATTGTAGATTCCTGAGCATTGGGCTGGCCTGCTGTTTCAGGATTTCTGGGGGCAGGGTTCCAGAATGTACATTCTTATGTCATTAAAATTGGAGAACCAGTGGTCTAGAATAAAGGCAAGCTCATTAGCATGGCAGAAGAGATCCCGGAGGGCTGAGAGTCTTTTACCTTCTCCAGTCCTAACTCTTACTTCTTTATATTTTGCACTTTGCATTAGATAGATACACAACTGCTTAACTTCTCCTGTATATAGAACCATTCTGCTTGCTGCTTTGTGTATTTAGTAGCACAATTCTATTTACCTGTGTTGTATACCATTCCCAAAATGGTTAATTCCCACTTACCATTAAAGATTCACTTTAGCCAATATCTCTCTTAGGAAGAATTCACTGATGTCATTTTCTAAGTTTCCCTATATCTTCAAACACCCCCTACCCTTAAAAGGGCTTTATACTGCTATCATTTTCCTGCATATAAGCATATAGGAGCAGGCCTGCTGCTGTAGACATCTGTGCATCCTACATTTATTGTGTCTATCTGTTCATAGCTGTTTTCTCCACAAGATTTTGATCACTTGAGGCCTGAATTTCCTTCCTCTTTGATCTCCAGGCATAAATACTCAATATATGTTTTTTGAACTGAAGTAGCATTGAGTTTGGAACATAAGATTAAAGTTTAATACAGCACAATCATTCTCTTTGTCTTATGAAGTGTTTCCTTTTAAGGATTGCTGTGGTACACACATCATTTAGTTTCGGGAACTTGCCAGGCTTTACTATATTTTCTGTTGTAGGTTCTGAACCTTTCGAATGGCACGGAGGAGCTGGTGAACCCCAAGGATGTCTGGAACGGCATTCCCAAGTTGGAAAAGAGTCCATCAGAGGTGTGGAATTCTGTGAGCGTTCATTAGTGAGAACACCATAACAACTGTTTCCAAAGCCCTTGAGTTAGGAACAATGATGAAAAAATACTACAACAATGACAGTTAAAAACAGCCACAACAAAAATCAGTGTTTCTGGCCATTATGCCATGTATCACAAACTAATTCAGGCAAACTAGTTATTAATGTTTTATTCCTTGTTTTTCGCTTTGAGGTTAAAGAATGGAAATTATTTGGTGTTCATGACCCTCATAAAATATAAGGTTTGCCAGGGATTTAGCTCAGTGGTTCCCCCGCTTGCCTTGCAAGCTCAAGGACCCGAGTTTGATCCCCGGTACCAAAAAAAAAAAAAAATATATATATATATATATATATATGGCTGATGCACACAATCTGGGAGATGTAGCAGAATTAAAAATGAGAAGGCGATAGTCACCTCTGATATGCCCTTTAAAAGACAGACAGGTTGGGCTGGGGATTTAGCTCAGTGGCACTGTGCCTGCCTCGCAAGCACAAGGTCCTTCCTGAGTTTGATCCCCAGTACCAAAAAAAAAAAAAGCCAGGTCAATTAGCTTGGTTTTCTTCCATAATTTTCCTTTACATTGAAGTATTTCATCTAAATATTTTGGACACAATTGATGTTACAGTCCATGTAGTTTTATATTCTGTTCTTTGCCTAAGACTACATGGTAGGCATTTTCCTTTGCCATTGGGATGTTTCTGGACATTTCAGTTTATCCTGTTTCGGGTTTGTTGAACTTGAAGTTCTTACTTTGACAATCTTTGTCTAGTAGTTCCTGACTAAGTCACTTTCCTCATTACTGGGACAAAATTCTCAACACCTGAAATTTATTTATTTATTTATTTATTTATTTATTTTGGTACTGGGGCTCGAACTCAGGACCTTGTGCTTGCAAGGCAGGCTTAGTGCTGCTGAGCTAAATGCCCAGCCCTAGACACCTGCAATTTATTTTATTTTATTTATTTATTTTTTTGGTATCGGGGATCGAACTCGGGTCCTTTCGCTTGCAAGGCAGGCAGTGGAACCACTGAGCTAAATCCCTGGCCAACACCTGCAATTTAAAGAAGTGGTTGGTTTTGGCTCACATCTCTAGTCCACAGTTGGCTGGCTCCAAGAAAGGAAGGCCTTGTGGAAGGGCTGGGCGGAGGAAAAGCTGCTTACAGGGCCAGGGATTTAGCTCAGTGGTTCTGCCACCTGTCTCAAAGCTCAAGGTCCCAAGTTTGATCCCCAGTACACACACAAAAACGCTGCTCACATCATTGCAGCCTGGAAACAGAGAGAAAAGGGCTCCCGGGAGGGAGATAAACCTTTCCAGGTTGCACCCCAGACTCTCATTCTTCCAACCAAACCCCACCTCCTAAGAGCACCTGCAGCTACAGCACCCCATCATCCTGTCACCTTTCAAAAGCCCCACCTGTGAGCGCACGAGGTGCTGGGAGGACACATCCAGACAGAAACCATCAAGTTCCAAAATCTCCAGACTTGCACCTTGAGTTGTCTTTTCCTAGGGAGATGCTCAGCTTTCCCTTGTTCTTTGTGTGTGGAGCAAGCTTGGGATTATATCCTGAACATACTGAATCTTGGGTTGTAAGACTTGCATCTTGTTCACAGCTTCTGGAGAAGGCTGAAGCTGGTGTTTCCACAGGCCACTAACCCCACTCTGTTGCATCACAAGCTCTGTCCCCTTCTGGTTGACGGTCCCCATGTCAGTTTCAGGCTCAGGCTACGTGGGGATTGGTCTGGGACTCAGACTGTACTTACGGAGTCATCCAGAGTCAAAGGCTTTGGGGCTTCTTTGACCCTGTTCTGCCTAGCACAGCTATTCCAGACATATATGGCTTCCTAGAGGGGAAAAGGTTTACAGTTTTGGAGCTCTTTTCCTTCCTGAGCTTTCTTCCACACTTTCTGGCCCCTGGGCTTCTCTTTTATCTAGCGCCTAAAGGCCTCTACTATCCCCTGACCCCGGCCAGAGTATGTACCTGTGTGCCTTGCTGGTTTCCTTCTGTTTGGGCAGGCACTGTGTGACTGAGCTTGTGTCTGGAGCAAAGCGGATGACAGAAAAGAGAGAAAATAGGAATTCCCTCCCCGTCCTGTGCAGACAGCAGAAGCCCCACCCACCTGCTTCCTCTGGCCAGAGATGGATTCTCCCGGGACTTCAGGCCCTGCGCTGCCACTGCTGCCAGTGGGCAGAACCTGAGCTGCTGCCCTAGAAGACAAGAATGAAGAGGAACAACAAACTCACAACACAATAGAGGGCGTTCCCATCCACTTTCTATTTTCTAACCTGCAGAAACCCTCTGTCCTAACTTTTGAGTAATGATAGGGGATTCTATCACAGTGTTGCTGTCCACCCTGCTGAGCAGTTTCAACTTGGGATCAAAGCCAGAGGACAAAGTGGTGGAGGAGCAAGAGGAAGAGGAAAGAGGAGGAAGGAAGGAAGGGAGGAAGGAAGGAAGGAAGGAAGGAAAAGGAAGAGGAAGGAGAGAGGAAGAAGGAGAAAAAAAGATGAGGCAGAGGAAGGAAGAGAGAGAGGAGGGAAGAAGGAGAAAAGAGGAAGCAGGAGGAGAAGAGACTCACCCCTATTGTGAGCCATTGTGCATGTTTTTTCTTTAGCTGTCAAACTGCCTGCTCCTGTTTGCTTTCGAGAATTCTCAGGTGTCATTTTCAGTGATCTGTCCAGAACTTCAGGTATAAGCAGTGGGAAAGAGGGGCTCTTTAGTAAGCTGGCTCCATCTTGGCTACTATCAGAGGCCACACACAGTATTTGATGGCATTCATGGGCCACCAACCTCTATAAACGATTTCCTGTTACAGTTGGGGGTTTAGATTCCGATCCCTTGACAATGTGCACATTAAAAACCACTGAGTCTTGCTTCACCTCCTTGTGTTAATTCCGCTTTTGTTTACTTGCCAAAAATAACAGCTTGTTACACTTTTATTGAATCTCATTTACTAAAACTTTCTTTTACATCCCAATAACCTCTATCCATTAATTTTGAAAACGCTACAGCCAAATACACACACACACACACACACACACACATACACAGTGACACACACACAGAGAAGTCTTTAGTTGAATAAAATACCTTAGATCTGCCAAAAAGAAAAGAATAATTCAGGACTATTCAAAATAGACACAAACATATACATAAAATTACCTCTGTCTTTAAGCCAATTATCAGATACATAGAAACTATGAATAAAGCTTTCGTATATTTGATTTAGTTATTCATGGGATTTAAATGATCCTTTCCTCAAAAATTGAGGGAGCTCTTCTCTGAGTATATCCATCTACAAATGAGCTAGTTTTTCTTAAAAGTGAATACTATGAAGTATTAAATTATGCACAAGTCCTTATGGTCTGAGTGTCTTTCTGATTATATTTTTTTAAGAGTTTTAAAATCTGAAAATGTTTCATTCATTAGGTTCCCTGTCACACCAAGCATGCACACCACGCTGTGAGTTAGGGGGAGGAAGGTGGGAGGAGTCTGTTGCTCCAGGGTAAGCCTTGGATGAATCACCCGGCTCCCCTGGGACAGGGTATTTGTCTGTTCTTGGACAGGGATGTCCCTCTTTCCCCCACCCAACACCCAGCTCCAAGGAGAAGTGAAGATGTGAAGAATAGAAAATACACTCAATGGGCCGGGGATTTAGCTCAGTGGTTTCGCCGCCTGCTGCGCAAGCGCAAGGACCCGAGTTCGATCCCCGGTACCAAAAAAAAAAAGAAAATACACTCGGTGACTCTTCACTGTAAAACCACTGTCCAATTTCAATAGGAATACTTCTTGTAGTGTATCTTTTATCTGGCTTACCTATGGTCACCTCTCTGATTTAAACTACTCTGTACTTGTAATTTTTAAAACAGCAGTAATCTAAAGATTCTTTTTATTAGGCTTCATTCCAGACATTTGGAAAAGATCTTTACCTCCTGTCGTTGGATGACACTACATCTAAAGGTAACTTGTGTTTTCAAATCACAACTCTCATCAACTCGGACTTCTAAGCCTTAATGATACCATTACCCTGAATCTCTAAAAAAATGGTTTGTCAGTTTCTTTGGATGCTAGTAGTATGAAAAAGGAAGAAAGGAAAGAAGGAAGGAAGGAAGGAAGGAAATTGAAAATTTTGGGTAAAATGTTTAAATGTGTTTACAGGGATAAGTAAGAGGATGAGTTCTTGAAATGTCAGAGGAAATTTGTTGGGTGGTTGAATTAATCTTGAAACTTAAACTGCGAGTCTGGTCAATTTGTGTTTTAAAGGACCTTAAATGATTTTTTCTCAGGATTAGTTTCTATCCAAGTGATGATCTCTTTATGTTACTCTTCTGAAATTTCTGTGTGTGTGTTTAGTTGACTGCATAGTAAGATTCAAGTTTCTGAGTGCTCAGAGTTAAGCAACTGATCCTCAGACCCAGAACACTGCCTCTCACAGCTAAACCACATTCAGCACGAAGTCAGCTCTCAGCGGCTTTGGCATTATGGGAAAAGCACACACCCGGCAAAAAGAACAAAGAACTATCGGTGATGAGCCCTGTTCACCTCACTCGAGCAAACCACAGCCAATTTCACAAACTTTTGAAAAAATTTTGATAATAGGCACAGTGTGAGAACCAAACTACAAAAGAAGTCATTATTGCTACTTCTTTACAGTAACTAGGATACCTACGTTTCCCTCTCCCTGTTTTTAGAGGACATTAAATTTGCCATGGTTGAGTCCCTGTAAATAATTTCATTGTCTTAAGGTTTCTTTCTCAGATGAAGATTTTTCTGTTCTTCTTTCAGAAGAGGGGTCTGGAGGTGAACCTCGGTTTTGCTGAGGACCGTACACCTGGGCAAGTGGTGTCTTGCCCAGACCAAGGCTGTCGGAGAAGGCTGCCAGAGCATCATCACAAGATGCTGTCACTTTTGAAGACTGATGTGTGTTAAAACAAAACAGGCCTGTAGTTGGCTGCAGAGTATATTTGTAGTATGATTGCTGTAGTTATGGATTCAGGATCTTTCCTCTACCTTTAATTATTCTTGTTTCTGATCAGCTGGGTTTACTTCGCTAAACAATTTGTTAACACATTACATTTCAAAAGGAAAACTTTTGCTGTCTTTTTCAATATAATGTTTATATTCAAAGAGAAAAATATAGGTTTGTGATAAGTCTGTTACATGACGCTGTTTAGAATGGCTTTGTTCGCAGTAATTTCTTTAGAATTTGTATTTGGATTTCGAAGTTTCGCTTCGTCTTTCTAGTTAAACATTTATTATCATTCTGTTTGCTAATATGACACACGAATACAATAAAGTTTACCCTTAAAGCTGTGGTGGTCTCACTTCCTTCTGCCTGTACCTCCATCTCACTTCCTCTTTAACTGGGGTTTGGGAAAGCTTAGTAATATTAAATATTGGCCCTCCTGTATTAACTGATACTTTAAAGGCATCGTCCCATTTTAATCATTGACTCTTAGGCGAGTAAGAGAGAGTGTTATCCATATTTTATGGGTGAGAAAATTGAAGATTTTTAGAGAAGTTGAACGACTTGCCTAGGGTCAACTAGGGATGCTCAGAGCCTGAGCAATCTCAGACCCTCCAACATCAAAGCCCTTGTTTTAAAATACCGTCTTGTGGGCCAGGGATTTAGCTCAGTGGTTCTGCCTCCTGCCTTGAAAGCACAAGGTCCAGAGTTCGATCCCTGGTACCAAAAAACAACAAAAAAACCCCGATCTTGTGTGGCTGTATGGTGCAAAGCACACGGCTCTTGGCTACATGCTGCTTACTAGCTAAGTGGCCCTAGCAGGTTATATAATATTGTTCAGCCTTAGTCTTCTCCATCTGGAAAATGGCTGTGATAAAACTTTTCTGGCAGGATTTCTAAGATTAGAAATAATTTATGGAAAGTTCCTGGAAAGGAGTGAGCATTTGGCAAATGTTTCTGTCTTTTCCCGGAAAAAGACTGTGTGCACTATGCTAGGTTTTTTTTTTAAGCTTTAACTCACTGGGTATGTTCATCAGGTTTTTTTCTCTTTTTGGCATCTGCCTGTGCCACCAAGAAATGATTGTAAAAATGTGCTCTTCAGGGTCAGGTGTGGTAACACACGCCTATAATCCCAACACTCTGGGAGGCTGAGGTAAGCCTGAGCAATTTAGCAATTTGGTGAAATCCTGTCTCAAAAAAGTTAAATAAAAAGGGCTGGGGATACAGCTCAATGTGAAGGCCTTGGGTTCTATACTCAGTATTACAAATGACCAACCAAATGGGTATCATTTCAATAAATGGAAAGGAGACGGGTTTGTATTAACAATTGAGGTGATAAATACATTGCTTGTTCCTAGGATAATGAATCAGTAGACAAGTGTGGCTGCTCATTAGGGGTTAGAGCTGTGAATTACCAAGAGAAAAAATGGAAGGGCATGCATTGCAGCCAGGCTGTAGAAAACTGTCAAGTTTCAAGCTAAGGGTCGGATTCTCCATTTAGACAACTTTTTTTTTTCACCTGAGGCAAGGCTTTACGGGGGAAGGAGCTGCGGAGCTACCCGGAACACTGGCGAGAGAGAGGGGAGACTAACGGGGGATGAGGTTTATATAGGGCGGTGCAGCGGGGACAGTCGTGAGACTTGAGCAACGGACGCCAGGTGATTGGAAGGGGAGGATCACAGAGGCAGCAGGGTGGAGCATCAAGCTAAGTTTTGCTTCTCCAGAGGGGGTAGGTTTCACTCCCGCCCCCCGAGTGGCTCATTTCCATAATTGGGAACCATTTTAGGAACGGGAGCCATTTTAGAATGTAGGACCGGGGCCATTTTGTCTGGCAGAGAACTCTATCATTCCAGACGCTTGTTACTATGGAATAGGGGCGAAGGTCTCTTTTTCTGTAGCTGTTTCCTGCTGTCAAAGGGGCGTTGTTGCTGCGTGGGGGCTTCAGATGGTCAAGGTGTGGTCTCGTTAGGTGGAGCCAGCATCAGTAGTGAGGGGCTGGTAGCCAGCCATGATGAGTTCCCCGACCGTCCGGTTGGTAAAGGCCCGAATGTGTTCCTGTAAGAAATTTTGAAAACAGCAAAACAGACAGGGTCCGAAAAGCAGAATTATGCAGAGGATGGTGAGGGGTCCCAGGAAAGGAAGAAGCCATGGAAGCCATTGGTCAAAGTATCCTGGCAGAGATTATAGTCAGTCTAGGTCTTGTCTACAAAGCTTCTTTACTTTGTCTCCAACAATGCCGAATTGGTTTACAAAGTAACAACACTCTTCTCCTAATAGGAGGCATGTTCCCCCTCTTTCTGTTGTTATTATATCCAGAGCTCATTTATTTTATTTTATTTTATCTTTTATTTATTTATTTTTTTTAGTACCGGAGATCAAAGTCGAGTCCTTGCGCTTGTGCAGCAGGCAGAGAAACCACTGAGCTAAATCCCCGGCCAGAGCTCATTTATTTTAGAGTACCACAGCTGCCAGCAAATTGATTTGGAACTGTAGGGTGACCAGAGAGTCAGCTACCTTTTCCATATCTTCATTTAGCTCTTGGGATAGGGAGTAATAGAAGTGTGTTAATGAGATTCCTGCCAGCCCAGTGCCAATTCCCACCAGAACTCTGGCTCCCATTAGGAAAAGGAGTACAGGAAGGAGACACTTGTTAAGATAGTGGGGAGAAACCTGTTGTAACATTTGGGTTTCAGTATAGATGGTGAGGGGAGGGCCAAGGAATCCCTCAGAACGTAGGGAGGAAGGGGTTCTGTTTATGCAGCAGAAAGCTTGGGAATCACAGATGAAGAATATCCCCCTAGAGAGACAGGTTATGGAAGGCTCAGGAATGTTGACAGTGTGAGCACAAGGGGTAGACATCTTTTGTTTAAGCTTGGACGAATTTGTACATGTCTAATTGTCATTGGTGGACTCTAGTTGGGATACAAAAGGACCTAGCATTGTGGTGACATTTTGTGAGGAATCAGGTTTTAATGGGGGCCGGGGAGGGGTACAGGTATCGGGACCTATGGCTGAAATTCGGGCGATAGGCACATCCAACATTATTTTGGTTTCCTGGCAGATTTAACAAGGTGGTGTTAAAGAGATGTTGGAGTCTCTGACATGTTTGAACTGCCTTTTTAGCGACAATAAATCAATTCTCCTGTATGGATGAGGGGTTTTTAAAACCTCTTTTTAAGTCTACCTATATAGGTATGTATCTTTAGTTATGCTTTTCTACTGGATATTTAAGACCAAGTTTCAGTGAGACCTATATTAAAATTAACCTCTTGCTATCTATCAAGGTCAATTAGGTCTCTTCAGGCATTATTTTGGAACCATGCATAGAGCCTCTCAGCTCGTCTGTCAGTGTCAGCTGTCAGGATGGGTCATGGCCTTGCTTGACCATGTCACTTTTAGTGAAAACGTGGGAGATTTTTCCCTTTGTGTGACCCTCCTTTGGCACATGGTTCGTTTGTCCTGTGGTGTCCATCAATCTCCTTGCTCAGGAGGTTGGGTGACTTACTAAAAATGTAGGATCCTGTAGAAAATGTTCCCTCATGTCCTGGATTCTTTGTTGACCTTGAGGGGCCAGGGCCAAAATATTGGCTGTCCTCTTAGCCCAGTTAACTTTCTAGTTTTGCTCTTCAAACTTTAGTTGTTGAACACCCAGAAGAGAAGATCAGTGACATTAGTAGTGCAGTAGGAGCAGTGAGATTAACTATTATAATTTTACCTGGATAGCAAGCATTTTGGAATCTAAAATATAATTAGAGGATTATTTTAATCAATCATGGTTGTTTTAGTAGTTGATTTCCTGTAGAATATTAATAGAAAAAACTTTGAATCAGGAGCCACACATAATCATAATAATACTTTAGCATGACAATCATGATGACATTATCTTTTTAACAAACTTCAATATGTATCTTAG